ATAGCTATCTAGAGAGTCTTAGTTTTAGCGGTTAATTCTCGTTATTGTTTAGCCTTATCGGCCGCCTTATTCTTTAGTACCCTAGTAGGGGCCGCCGTACTAGGGCGTATAGGATTCTAAGGGCTCTTACCCTTGTTTTAGGACTAGGTCTAAGACCGTATAGCAGCGTAGACATCTATACTATTCTTAGTAACCGCGTAAACATTAGTAACTGCGTCCGGATCCTAAGAAACAAAGTTGACCTTAATAGGCTTAGTAGTACTATTACTACTCCGCTCCTTAACCTATTTTGCCCTAACCTTCTAAGTTTCTCGTTTAGCAATAGCGGCGAGGGTACTATTCCTAGTATCCTTAAACTCGATCTTGCCGCTATACTTCTTTTCTAGAAGGGTCTTTAGCTAAGGTAGCTTCGGGGCTCTCCGATTCTACTCGAAATCAATCTTATCGCTAGTGTCTATATAGTAGAATCGGCTATTTACTTATATAATAAGCTTCCTTTTAAGAAGCTCTTTCTAGATAGGGTAGGACGATTAGACATATTTAAACCCGCTACACATCTAGCACTTGCTATCTAAGTTAGAATAGATCTTCCGTATAGCGTAGACATCTACTAAAGGGGCTTTAGGGTAGTTAGGATCTAAAACCTAGTAGACTAGTAGTATATCGCCTAGTATAGTAGCATTAATAACCTCCCTAACTCGCTATAATGCTTTCGTATTTAGGTTTAGCTAGGCTAGGGATTTAGCTAAGTCCGCGACGTCCTAAGAGTGTTTAGTAATAGTAGGAGTTACGGTCTTAGGACTACTTTGCGATTTAGGAAGGAACTTAGGTCCCTTGCTTCCTATAGTGTCTTTCCTAACCTGCGCTAGGTTATTCCTATCTTCGCTATAGATAAACTTCCTCGCATCGGCGGTGCTATTAATGTCGGCCTTAATATATACTAGGACCTCTTTGTATTTCCTAAAACTCTTAGGATCGGACTCGCTAAGCTTATAGCGACGGAAGATACGCTAAGCTATAGGCTACGGCAATCCCTAGAGGAGCAGCCTCGTTCTCTAAGAGTTTTCGAGGTTACTCTATTCGATGCCGTCCGCTAACTCGACAAACTCGCGGATATACCCCTTTAGGTCGTTATCCTTAGTGCGCCTTACTAAGCAGAGGGACTCGAGCTACGTACGACTGCCTTTAATGCGACGGCTATCGCGCTCCCGATATTCCCTTATAAAGGCTATCTTAAAGGTCTCCTAGTTAGAATTAGACTTGTCGTCCTTTTCTAGGTAGCTAACTAGGGTTTTAAGGGTTCGGTAAAGCTTAGAGGAGGTAGTCCTCGTATAGGACCGAATCTTGTACTAGTCGGATTCTCTATCGAGCTCGTAATTAACTAAGCCTTCCTTAAAGCGTTCTATATGTGCTATAGCGTTCTACCCTTCGAATAGGGGATTTATACTGCTCCTTAGCTCTAGCGGGCGACGCTTGTTTTAACGGAGAAGCTTAGTTTGCTTCTCTATTATCTTTATAAGAATAGTATAGAGCGCCTCTAGCGTAGAAGGCGTAGAAGGCTTACTTATATTAACTAGTCGCCGCCTAATTTCTTCGTTAATAGGATTAGGGGCGTTTTCGGATTTAGAGGATTCCGCTAATTCTTAATGTTCGTTTTCGCTAGAGCTAGAGCTTATTCGATTATTATAAAATAGTTAAAATAGTTAAAATAGAATGCTATATAAAGTTAAAATAGAATGCTATATAAATGTGTTTTTAGTAACTTTAGTCTGTTTGGTTTGTTATAATATTGCTATACGAGAGAGTAGTATATTAGGCTGTTTCTCCTAGTGTTACCCCTAGGGTAGCATTAGGATTTAGCCTCCTAGGGGTCGCCTAACTACCTCTAGGAGCTTAGTTTAGTAGATTTTGGATAAAAGCCGCTCGGAGGGAGAGACTACAATCTCTATTTACTCCTAGATCCTAGAAACTAGCTCGTATCTCCTTTAGCTAGGCGGGGGAGGCGGTAGCCTTCTTTTTCTAGTAGAAGGCTAAGCACTATCTAAGCGAGGCTACGAATCTAGGGACGCCCTACCCGATTAATAGGGGACTCCCCGGCTATCCGACCTACAATCCGTATTTGCTATTAATTAATAGTCTTAGCAAACTAAGCAAGGCCGATAGGTAATTAGTCTATCTCCTCCTTAGGCGGGGCTTATCTCGAGCAAGCGGTGCTAAATAGGTCTTCGACCCGGAGCCGAGTCCTTAGAAGCTAGCTATAGCTATAGACTAGGCCCTAAGCTGTAATAGTCCTAAGGGTTTGCAGCTTTTCGGGGTTAAAGCGATGCCCTCGTTAAGAGGTTTCTCTACTTATCGTAATAGCCCCTTAAGATACTTCGGTATCGTCCGTATCGTAGGCTCTTGTCGTGCCCTTGCTTTAGTTATAGCTATTCGTGCCTAGAGACTACCTTTAACATACCCGAACCTGTTAGATATAAAGAGATAGCCCTACCTTCGGCTCTAATAAAGGACGGAAACTAAAACTACTACTACTACTAGCAGTAATAGTATAGGCCACCGAGGGTAATATAACCTATAGCAATATAGGCAGCTATATTTAGCATAATAGGATAACAAGACGGTTGCTTAGGCTAATAACTAGAGCCCTGCAATATAGGCATTATAGAAGTGTAACGTAAACAATGTACTATACGAGGTTAGTGCTCTATCTACAATGCAGAAGGAGGCCTCTTATATAGGCTTAAAACTCAGCCTAGGTATATAGGGCCGGTTACTAGCTAATACTAGTCGCTACTATTATTAACCTTACCTACACTACGAGCCTAAGGCACCTTTAATTAAAACTTTGATTAAAACTTTAAGGCTAAGTCAAAACTTTAAGCCGCTTAAAAGATTAAGTAGACTAATAGACTAACTAACTAAGGGCAAAACTATAGAGCTAAGCTAGCCGGGGTCGATCTTGCGGACAATAGGTTACTCCTCGATCTTTCCGACCCTTTAAGCGAGGCGAACCTCTACTACTATACTTATAATAGCCTTTACCTATAGAAACTAGAAGAACTGAGTTTTTTGAAAAGATATAGTTAGTTGATACTTGAAGGCTACCAAACCTAACTAATTTAGGCTAGTAAAACTACGATAGTAAATAATAACCCTCGGAAGCGGACAAACCCTCGGGAGCGGACATTGCTAGGTCTTTTAAGAGTAGACGCAAAGAACTCGGTACGACATTACGTAGAGCGGAGGTAGGGCTACAATACCTCGTACGTCTACCTATTATAGTAGGGAAGACGCGCTCGTATTATAATTAGTCGAAGGCCCTTAATTCTTATAGATATATATTACTTTATAGTTTATTATATATAGGGATAGCGCAGTTAGAATTAGACATTGTGTTAGAAGGTAAGGTTTAATATAGTTACATAATTAGGTGGTTAAGTATTTAATTTAGCGCGGACTAAGCGGCTTATTAGACCTACTAAGTTAGCAGCAATAGGGGTTAAGACTAGAACAAAGACCGGCTACGAGGGCGCGGCCTTTAGAAAGGAAGCGTATATTAGGGCTAAAGAGGCTACACGTAATTAGCATATAACTAGGCCGAGTAAAGCTAGGGTCTTAATGCCTTAGGCAGGGCTTGGCGCTTAGCGTTAGGCCAACTCTCCTGCCTTCCTCCCTCTCCTCCGAGATCTCTATCGAATACTATACTAATTTACTACTACCCTATCTACCTGCTAACATAACCCTTCTTACAATACTAGTATATAGACGTTATACGGACGTAGCTACTTTAAAAAATAGCACTATACTTCTCTATATATAAATAGTATATAGTAATTGCTATATTACTATATAGTAATAAGTAATTACTAAATAGTAATAGTAAATTGTAATTACTATTACTATAGAATTCTAAAAAAAATAGTAATAGTAATTATTATTACTACGTCTTGAAATTTCTATAGTAATTACTATAGGCCCGGGGATAGTAATTACTACTTGCTAAGGTTTAGACATTACTAGCCTCTAGCAACCGGTACCCTAATTCTAACTAACGAAAGCGTACCTAGCTTAGTAGAGTATCCTAATCTAGAGCTAAGAATAGTTCGCGCTAGGAAATTGTTGTGTATCTTGTAAGCGTACTATTCCTAGTTACCTAACACTAGTTACGGTCCGAGAAGTACTAGAGGTCGCCCGCTTTATAGATAAGGCCCTAAACTAGCCTAAATACCTAACTAGTAGTAGGCTCTATATACTAGTATCCTATACTAGTCTCTATAAGACTCTAATAAAAAGTATAGTATTAGAGCTGTAAGAACTGCTAGTTGTACTATGTTTCTAATATTTAATCTAGTACTTTAAGATAAAGAACCCTTAGGATTTTCCTTTATAAATTCCTTAGTATAAATTTAAATAGATATCTACTAATATCGAGTATTTCTTTTAGCTATATATTGTATACAACTCTTTTTGTATTTACTATCAAGTAATCTTTGCTAGTAGGCTTTTTTAATAATCCTTAGGAATAAAAAGATATTATATTAGGACCGTAGGAACTAGTTCTATTATATGTAATTTATACTAGTACCTAATAATTTTTAGTACTAGTATTTCTTATATTAACATATTAATAAAGTAGCTATCTAATTTAATAGTAAGTTAAAAAAAACTTTTGCTACTATTTTAGTATTTCTTTTATAAAAATACTAGATTAACTTATATATCTATTTATAGGTGTATATTTATATACGCTATTATTAATCGACTATAAATGCGATATTAGACTGTCTAAAAATTCTTACTTATATCCTTTCTATATATCGCTATAGAAAGAATATCTATCTATATACTATATATATTTTTAATTAATTTTTTAGGCAGTTATATAGTATGCTAGTAGGGCCAGGTACGTGCAGTAGTGTAGTAGAAGGGATAAGAATTAGTCGATTAGTAGGAACGTAGCTACGTGGGCGCTAATTTGCGGCGAAGAACGTTGTACACGGATGTGTGCGGAAATCGGACGATGGTCAGATCCGCGTAATCAAGCGCAGATTCTAGTGCAAATAGCAGTTCAGTTACGGCCGAACAGTTCCTACCTTTCAGTCTGAGCAGTTTGTCCAGTAATATAGCCCTTTTGGGTTGTCCCACGGGCAGTCAGAATACAGTCAATCAGATCTTCAGCTCTCGAAATCCAGACTCGGCGCACCGCTGTGTCTACAGGCGGACCGACCCTTGTTAAATACGGTGAACTTCGCTCGCAATTCGACAATGCTCCCTTGCACGGTGGCACGATTGTTGACCGGCGGGCGGCGGCACGATATGCCCTGCCTTGCGAAGGCACAGCAAGCAGTAAACCAGCATCGCCTTCATCTGGCCGACGATTGTAGGCTTGCCATGCACACTGTCAGCCATGGCTGGTGGTTGTATTTGGCGTTGGACATATTAGGCCATAAGTGGCGGGATTTCCTCGCATCTAGACACCCTCTACTCCTAGCCGTGACTGAACCTCCCAGCCTACGCAATGGGTCTAAGAACTGAATCAAGAGCAGGCCGAGGTGGAAGGCAGAAAGCCGTTCGAGACAGCACGTACGACCCAGGTAAGTGGCAGCATGCAGAACTCCACGGCTGGCAGTGTTTGACTAACACCCCAAATAGCTTGCGATCAATGCCGAGTGAAGAAAATACGATGCGGAAGAGAGCGTCCATGTTGCCAGCATTGCGAGCGTCTTCAACTGGAATGCACATGGTCCGATTACGGAAAACGACCAAATCGTACTGCTGAACTGTAAGCAACGCCCGAAAAATTACCGCCGCAGCTCAGTTTGACCAAGGATTTATGGCAGGGCAGCGCAAGTAGAGAGTCTCGAGGATCGTCTCGACTCTGTCGAATGCATAGAAGGCCGTCTTGATCGATTGGAAGAATTGGTCAAGCACAGCATGCAAACGCCTTCGCAAGCGAGGCTTCTCACTTCGTCCTCTGGGGAGGGCAGTCCGAGTCCAATGAGCGAAGCAGATGGCCTACCGACACCATGCAATCGCTCCGGTCTAAATCTGTCTCTCAAGTCTGGCCATCGTGGAATAATTCTAGACGCTGAGACATTGTACGAACGCTATCATGGGCCTCTGTCGCTTTTCTCGTTGGTACAAGAGTTCCAATGCCACACTTTGGGCTCTCTTGCCAGTCCGGATGTGCCGGAAATGCCGACTCATGCCCTGGTCGCTGCTATGACTGCTCAACGTCTAGAAGCATTGGACCTGAAATACTCATCCGGATCGCTTCCCAAGGACAAATCGCCTCTAGAAACTCCACCAAAAGCATTGTTCGAGGCCTCAGTCGGGCCGTACTTTGACAGCGTTCATCCTTCGCTGCCAATTTGGACGCCTGAAGGGCTGAGCCGCCTCATGTCCATCCTGTACAATGAACAGAAGGAGGAGAAAGACGATGCTTTAATTCTGTGTGCGAACAATGTTATATTAATGATCGTTACAGCGAGAACAAGGCAAGCACGAACTCCATCGAAAGAAAGGATTTCTCAGCAGACGATGTGGCAATCAATCGATGAGAACGTTGCTGACGTCTGTTTTGAGAACGCAAGACGTGGAATTTGCATAGCGGACACTCTTCTTCTACCACGCTTAGCAAATGTTCAGGCTCTAACCTCATTGGTAAGCGGGTGATTCTGACCGAAACTTGGTTTTCTAGGCTCGTCTGATATTGGTGCAGGCAATCATCGCTCTATATCACTTCACACCAGATGTTTTCGATCGCTTATTCGGATACGCTTTGCAGTTGGCGAAATCCATTGGACTTGACCAAAGGAACCATCTCTGCAGCGGACAGGACGCACTTGCTAGAGCTGAGCGAGCCAATGTCTCAGCTTGTCTATACATCTTGGAGTGTTCCAGCGCGTGGAACAGAAGCTTAACGATCTCTTTTCGCATCTCCCCCGATAATATGGAGCTGCTTACGAAAAGAATCGATCCAGATTGCCAGGACTTCTTGTTGCGGATTCAGCTTGCTAGCATCGAAGACCAGATCAATGCTGGTCTCCATTCTGAGGCTCCCGCGCTTGATGATCTTACATCGGGTGGGAATAATTCTGTTGAACAAGTGCGAGTCACTCTGGATGAAGTGTTGGAAAGAGACCCGACTTCGATATCTCCAGAAGTTCAGTTGGGATGCAGATGGTGCCGTATTCTATTGAACTACTTCGGTACTTCAAGTGCCGGCACGGAAACTATCCTACACGACTCGAGAACCTATCTGGACACGATAATACACATTTGGAACAGTAGTGAGCAGCTCAAAAGCTTCGTGAGCATGATAAGGTGAGTCGCGCCGCTTGCTGATGTGTTCCCTGCTAAGTGATTTTCCTTCACGCCAGACATGTCCTTGTTTCACCACCTCTGGCACTTCTAAAATTGAGCGCTCACCACCTGCGTCATCCCAACCCAGACGATCTACACCGCCTGCAAGCTTCCGCCGCCATCTTGCGATCGCTGGGAGAACAGATGGAAGTCAACGGGTCTGGTGAGGTGTCATACGCCAGGCAGATGAGCAGTGTTGCCGACATACTGTCCGAAATGGCCGGCAATATCTCATTTCATGCCCACAAGACTTTTGACGCCGTCACGCCAGATCCATGGGCTCATGCACTGGCCATAGGTATGTCCCTAATGGTCTGAGATGACAATATCACTAATTCTTCTTAGACGACGACAGTCTTGCCGTTGAGCCTCTCGGTTCACTGTTTGGAGACATATGCCAACTGCCACTACAGCAGTACTCTTTGCCTGATGAGTCGGATGATATCGACCGACTTCTGTTTCCATGGCATTCATCTTAATTACTATACAACCTGCATTTCATTCTAATGACCTCCTAACGGAATTGAATGTTTTTTGAGACATCGCTGCTAGTCTGCTTGTGTTTAGACGATGCTCGGTTGCAATGGCAAGGCTTTTATACACAGCACCGCTAAGAATGCCACGACACTGCACCCTGTCATCTCGTACCAGACTGTCGAGAAGGCTGTCCTATAGCTTGCGATCGCCTCGCCAAGTACCTCTTGCGTCAAATTCGTGCTACGAAGCATCGGTATAAAGCTTATCGCATCGTTGGCGTCAACAAGCCGTCCAGTCTCGAGAAGGCCTGGTGAAAGGTGAAAAGTGCTGCTGAACGCCGTGGAAGAGATAGCAAGTCCGAAGGCACCTCCTAATAAGCGGGCGAACGCTATCATACCTGCTGCCAGACCCATGTCTTCAGGATCCAGTACTGATGCCTGCATCGGAATGGTCAAGATGGTGTACAGTGAACCAAGGCCAATTCCAGCAATGAGCTCATACATTGTTTGTTCCACAAGGAGCGTGGATCGTTTGAGCAATGATAGAAGTCCCACGCCACAAGCCAGAAGAGAAGCTCCAATGCGAATCGTCCAGACATATTGGCCAAATCGCTCGACAATCACGCCAGAAACAAAGCCACAGATGATGACGGCAAGATTCAACGGTAGCATCGACACCACGGTCTGCATTGGTTGCTGAAGATGAACCGCTTGGAAGAATAGTGGGAGATACAGCAATAAGACATACACGATCGCGCCGTGGAGGAAGACTGCGATCAGCGACGCCTTTGCAGTCGTCGGCTTCATCAAACGGCGCGGGAACATCGGCTCATCTCGACGTCTCTCAACCACGACCAGCAGTATGAGGAGCCCAAAACCTATTCCCAACGGGACAATCGTTCTCCACGACTTCCAAGGCGCCAGCGCACCGGCCCAGCTGATCGGTAGAACGAAAAGAGTCAGGCCAGTCGTACACAGCAGCATCCCGATCCAGTCGAATACCCGTGCACGAAACACCATCAAAGCGAAATCTATCTTCCCAGTCTCTGTGAGAAGCATGAGCCCGAAAGCAGTGGTGCAAAGTGGGAGATTTATCCAGCCGATCCATCTCCAGTTCCTTCTAGATCCATCGGCGAGCGCAGCACCTATGATAGGACCTAGGACACTGCCCGCCGCCATGGGCAGACCCAGGAGCCCCAAGTAGAGAGGTCGTTTCTTCAGCTCCGTGATATCGGACACGATGATCTCAGGGATCACATCCATGCCGCCGGCGCCGAGGCCTTGGAAAATCCGTCCGATAACGAGCACGGTCATGTTTGATGCGAGGGCGAAAATGATCGAGCCGAGCAGGAAGAGCAGCAGTGCGGCGTGGAGAGGGTAGACGCGTCCCACGATGTTCGTCAAGGCCAGGTATAGCGGCAAGGATACCACATTCGCCAGCAGGAAGGCAGTGCTCGCCCAGAACGAGGATAGCGTCGTCCCATGCAAAACGTTTGCGATGACCTGCTCTTGTAAGCCCACAGCATTCAAGGCTTTTTTCCATTTCCCTTGCTTCCGGGCCTGACCTACTGCCAAAGATGTAGACAATGCGGTCGCGTCTAGCGATGCAATGAAGACCATGATGCTGAGTGCTGCAAACGTGGACGCAAACGCACGGCTGCTTTGTTTTGGCAGCATGAATTTTAATAGGGAGGTTCTGGGTGCTTGATGAAGGCCTCTAGGGTGACGATCACGGCTGCTATGCAGTTCCAGAGAGTTAGACATGGGAGCAGTAGCGATGTTCCGTGGTTAGCAATTCTAGCGAATTGTGTGGGTGGGTTTGGGCGTGTATCATAGCTAGGACATAACAGGATGCTGTCAGTCGAGCCCGGAGGACGGAACCCGTGGTCTCGGACACGGGATCGGGTTGAAACTACGAGGACGGGTGTTTCTAGCAGGAGGTGCAGGCGATGTGCCTTTCCGAGAGAGCAAGAGGTCCGTGAGTGGAGGCGCCTTTGGTGTGATGAGATTATGGTTGTTGTTTGTGGTTGTGATTCCCGGCAAAGTGATTGTGATTATACTTGCCAAATCACTTCCTTCGACCAAGATGTGTCTATAGTAGCATTTCTAGGCTATATCAGCCTTCTGAACAAGGCGACAAGCTCGCTGTATCTTGATCTCCCTAATGTATAAGGATGTCCTTGGTAAAGGATAGCTATTGTCTAGCAATGATACCTTACTCCTTCACTAAAGTGGGTCTGAATTGTGCTTACTTAGCTCAAGGTAGGCTGCTTCCCCTAGCTTCTCCTACTATTGTGATTATGACTGCGATTTTGTAATTAATCACTCACAATCGACAACTAAGATGAAATTCATCAGTATAATCAGGCTGGCATGAGAAATACATCTAGCTAAGCGAAGCAAAGATTTAGCTACACTTGACGTCACGGCCTTCGAATCCTGTATCTCCCACTACATAGCCGCAGCCACCGCCCCAGTCTCAGCGTACACCAACTCAGGCTTGGAGTACTGAATATTGACAGTAGGGCCGTCGCCCAGATTACGCTCAGACAAGTAGCGATAAACCTTCTGCGCCGCTCTCGGAGTAGATTTGCTACTTTTCAACTCAATCATCTCGCTGAAAAACTCGAGGATCGTTTGAGCCAAGCCATCAACCTCAGCCAGGGTGTTGTTGGCATGGAAGACAAATCGCACTCTTCCCGTGCCTTCGGGCACCACGGGACTATCGATGGCCCATGCGCAGTAGCCGGCTAGTTGAATGTGGAACATGAGGTAGTAGTTGTATTTCTCCTTGGTCCAGATTGGAACGATGTGAGAGAGGAAAGGTTTCGTCTCCCAGTTTTCCATTACGGGAATGGAGCACATTCCCAGAAACTCGGCGCGCGCAAAGGTCATGCTGTTCGCCATGGTGGCGAAGAAGTGCTTGATCAATTTTTGTATCTTGTCTTGCGCCTGCATTTCGTCATTAGTGGTTTGGAAGCTGTGTGATGTGCTCGAGTAGGGTGCTCTTACCTGCTGGGTCTCCCCACTGTTGAGCAGACCATAACCGGCTCGAATGGCGGCCAGCATAGGAAAAGACGGAGCCGTGGTATAGATCACGCCACGAGCGAAGTTTATGAGCGTATTCCGAATCGTGTCGTTCGCCAAGACGATAGCTGTGTGAGCGGTCAGCATGAATTCATCGACCGTCGAGGGATGAATCGATTGGCTGAGATACCTCCGTGGGATCCTAACGCTTTTCCAAACGTATGCACACGTATCGCAATCTCCTTTTCCAGTCCGAGCAGACAGACTAAGCCAGAGCCACGGCGACCAATGACACCAGTGCTGTGTGCCTCGTCAACGATGAATTGGACCGTCTGCGTAAAAGGGAAGATTTGTTTCGCGGTGGCGACCATCTCTGCGAGAGGACAAACGTCCCCATCCATGCTGTACACCGTCTCAACGGCGACGAAGATCGTGCTCTCGCCCGCTCGGATGCGAGGATGCGCGTCTCGGACTGAGCGCAGAGTGCTCGCGAAGGAATCTACATCGTTGTGCAGGAAAGGAAGCTTGCTGGACGCCTTTGTGTGCTTCATGCCATCGTGGACGCTTGCATGAATAAGTTCATCGTAGAGAATGACATCGCCTGGCTGGGGGATGGCCGTGAAGATGGCACCATTGGCTTCATACCCCGAGTTGGTAATAAGGCCTGTCTCGGCACGATGGAAGTCGGCCACTTCTTGTTCGATGTCTTCAACGTAGGTATTGTTGCCATCGAGTAGCCGTGAGCCAGTACTTCCAAGTGAGAAGTCCGGGTATCGTGAGAGTTCTTCGAAAAATGCCTTTCGAATCTGACCGGTAGACGCGAGAGACAGCGCATCATTGGATGAGAAGTCGGCGGCGCCTGGTACAGGGCGGCGAAGATTGACCAGCCCGTGGTGTGCTCGCTTCTCGTCCAACGCTTTTTCGAGACCACGATAGAGCGCAGGAGTGTTGCTAGGCAGAGTTGGGGATCGAAGTCTCTGGGCAGATGCCCACCCACCGAGCATCGACAAAGCCATGATATCGCTGAATGTGCGCACGGTCGAAGAAGTCTGGTGAAACAAATTGAGTCGTATCGTAGCCCCTTTCAGCCTCTTGTACTGGACATAGGTACTCAGGTCGGACACCGGGACCCGGTCGTTATTGCTGTGATGCAGACTGCCCGACAAACGGGATTCGATGTCCGACTGCGAGCTTTTTATTTACGTTGACGTGGCTCAGATCGCGATCAGCGCGACCTTGCCGTGCTTCTCGTCGTCATTATGCACACGGTCATAACAGGCGGTTCTAAAGGACTGGGCAAGGAGATTGCCAGCATTCTGCTTGGCAAAGGTTAGTCTTCGGCTACTTACCACGTATTCGAAAGCTACTTACTACTGCTACGCAGGGACTGATGTTACGCTCATTGCCCGGGATTCGACAGCGCTGGAAGCAGCTCAGAGAGAGTTGACACAATCTGACTGCTGTGGGAACCTAGTTAATTATATCTCTGTGGATCTTTCCAACAGTGCTAAGGTATGGAAAAGCAGCAGGATTCTGCCGTGCGCACTGGCTGATTTGTCGAAGACGGAGGAGGCCTTCAGATCGTGGCGAGAACTCCCAGATGTGATATACTGCGCAGCCGGCGGGGCAGTCGTTGAGAATGGCTTCTTGCGAGACATCAGCCCGTGCCATGTTGAAGACTGTATGCGCAACAACTATCTGACAGCCGCATTCGCAGCCCAAACGATGCTGAAGTTGTGGCTTGAAGATGATGCTAAGAAGCGTATGTCTTTATCAAATGGGTTCAAGCCGTCAGAGCAGCGAAAGAGGCGCATCGTGTTTATATGCAGCACTGCAGTGTTCGTTGGACTGCCTGGGTACGATGCGTACACCCGTATGTGTGACCGCGTTGCCGTGTCGAATTGTACCTGTGCTGACGAGAGGTTGCACTAGCTGCCAAAGCGGCCGTACGCGCGTTGGCAGATATCCTACGAAGTGAAGTATACCAGTACTCAGGCCCGGGAGCAATCTCAGACTACAAGATACACTGTGCATTTCCGTCGAATTTTGGATCCGCTGCTTTTCTGGAAGAGCAGAAGCATAAGCCAGTTATGACTTGCCGTTTCGAGGGCACACTGGTCGAGAGCGAAGAGGAGTTGCTAAAGCGAGTCCCCACTGCAAGGTATGTCGCTGAGCGCATCGTCCATGGCGTTGAACAAGGGAAAGACTTTGTCATTCTCGATGGCAGTGCGGTGTCAGAGTTACTATACGCCGGTATGAGGGGGCCTTCGCCCGCGCGTGGGCTTGGCCTCGTGGACTTTTTCGCGTCCCTTGCTATGCTCGCCGTGTGGCCCTGGTTGAGAAGGAGGCTAGACCGACTCTGTGCAGGAAACAAGGATATCTAGAGACTCGATGGTTGAATCTTGCATGCCGATCATATTTGAGATTCATAGTCCGGATATGAACGTAAGCAAATTGCATTCAATCTAGCTTACCCTGCGAGCCGCGCGCAAGTGGTCTTGGCTCGTGCGACTGCGCTGCATCAGATATGCTACGATGGCCCCGGTATTCGGAGCCGAGCAGCCGGTCCCACCATGTGAAATAGATCTGAAAGTTTGTCTAACCACGATCAGCACGTTCGCTGAAGCAGGTTTCGGCCAATGCTTACCTTCAGACCCCAGCGCTCGTGATGAACGTTGTGGTAAATGATATCAGCGCCGGTCAACTTCCCGAAGATCGAAAACGGGCTCCACGGGAGATCGTACGCGCAGTGATCCTCGACCGTCTTTGCCGTTACCAAGGCGTAGAACCAGATCGTTTCTTGGCTCGAAAGCCCGATGACCCATACACCCAGGATGCCACCCATTCCATCAACGCAGAGCGATTCGAACCAGTGGTTGTAGAGCGCGCCAAAGGAGAACGGAACGTACAGCTGATGATGGACTGCATGGACGTTCCTGTAAAGCCAGGTGTTGCGATGTTCGGCATAATGCGTCCAGAACACCCAGGTGTCGAGGACTACTAGAGCACAGAATTGCCGAGACAGCAGCCACAGCATGTTGAAGGCGCCGTGGAGGAGGCCGTGGAGCGTGGCTGGGCCGGGGCCTGCCGGGGCAGCTCCCGCGAGCAGGATTGTATCATTTGTCATTATCCGTCCCGAGCCCTGCGCTGGACTTTGGAGAGCCGTTTCTGCGGGCAGCTGTGCTGATGCTGATGCTGATGCTGATGCTGCCCACAGTAAAGCCGTCTGGGCAACTTGGGACATGAGAACATGGCGAAAGACGGCGCCGCGAGTGACGAGATTCTGATTCTGCAGCTTCCCAGACTCCCTTGGCGGTGCGGGCCGAAGGCGGATGCGGTGTTTGTTGCACAGGTCGAAGTAGTCCAGCAGTTCGTAGAATGCGGAAACAGTCCAGTAGGTGATGACGGGGGACAAGATGGCCCACTGTTCATCACTCACGCATCGAGAAAGTGGTCGAGTCTGCATACTGTCGGTTCGAGAGGTAGTCGTGCACCGCGACTACATGTAGTGGACTTGATGAAGGACATGGCGGTGGCTGCTGGAAGGCGAAAGAGCTTTTGATTGAGACGTGGCCGTGAGGTTGTCGGAGGACGGGATGCGGATGCGGATGTGGATGCGGATGTTGATGGGAGGAGGTCACCAGTGCCAAGGATACCGCGGCTCGGTCCATCACGGCTCGGTCCGAGGTTCCGAGTCGGGACAACAACACGTCCATGCGGCGGTATGGCATTGAAGCGTAAGCCGGACAAGACAAATCGACAGTCCGGCTTGATCATGGGACCGTCACTGCGGAGATCGGTGCCCGCGCAGCGACGTTCGCGTCTCGGGACGCCACTATGCTGGCGACAGCGATGGCCTGTCCGTGGTGTTCCGTACTTTGACGCGAACTCCACCACGAGCAGTGTCTGGATCAGGCTGCTCCTTCGCCAACTATGCTGTTGACAGCGATGGGCTGTCCGTATTGTTCAGTACTTTAACTCGACCTCTATCGTCTATATAACGGGCAGTGTCTGCATCAGGCTGCTCCTTGGCCAACTGTGCTGTTGACAGCGATGGGCTGTCCGTATTGTTCAGTACTTTAACTCGACCTCTATCGTCTATATAACGGGCAGTGCCTGGATCAGGCTGCTCCTTCGCCAACTGTGCTGTCGACAGCGATGGGCTGTCCGTATTGTTCAGTACTTCAACTCGACCTCCATCGTCCACACAACGGGCAGTGTCTGGATCAGGCTGCTCCTTCACCATGGCTCGCCGTACAGGCCCCATCGATCACTCCGCTGATACGAGCGGACGGCATTACAGTCACAGTTATGGCAGAGACCGAACTGGGGGCCTCGACCCGAATGATTTGATTGCCATCTGTGGCATGGCTCTGCGACTGCCAGGAGCAATTTCCACCCCGGAAGACTTCTGGCACTTTTTGCTGGACAAAGGCGATGCTCGCTCTCGTGTCCCTGCCTCGCGGTACAACATCGATTCTTACTACGTTGGAGAGGCAAACCCAGGAACAGTACAAACGGAACACGGCTACTTTCTTGACGACGAAAATGCCAATGTCCGCGATCTAGATGCCTCGATGTTTAGCATACCACGCGCAGAGCTCAGGCGGGTTGATCCACATCAACGTATGATGCTCGAGGTGGCGAGGGAATGCTTGGAGGATGCCGGCGAAGTCGGCTGGGCTGGGAGCCGGATCGGATGCTATATGGGAAGCTTCGGCGAGGACTGGTGCGAGATGTTCGCCAAGGACCCGCAGCAATACGGCCTGCACCGGGTTGCTGGCTATGGAGATTACATGTTGTCAAACCGAGTCTCCTATGAGCTGGACCTCCATGGTCCAAGTATGACAATACGAACCGGCTGTTCTGCGGCACTCGTAGCACTTCACGAGGCCTGCCGAGCGATCCAACATGGAGACTGCGATGCAGCACTCGTAGGAGGAGCCAATCTCATACTTGCGCCTGGCATGACGACTGCTATGACGGAGCAAGGCGTTCTGGCGAAGGATGGCTCATGCAAGACATTCAGCGCGGATGCAAACGGTTACGGTCGCGGCGAGGCCATTAATGCTGTCTTTATCAAGCCCGTACGTACGGCTCGACGAGATGGAAATCCAATCCGGGCGGTTATTCGAGCCACTGCCACGAACAACGATGGTCATACCCCAGGTATCTCGTACCCAAGTGGAACAGCACAGGAGGCTATGATGAGGCATGCTTATGCCACTGCAAACCTGGACCCCACCGAGACCACTTTCGTGGAGTGCCATGGCACTGGAACACCCGTCGGAGATCCCATCGAGAGCAACGCTGTCGGACGTGTTTTCAGCGCTCAAGGATCGTCCGATCGTACAAGGTACATCGGCTCGGTCAAGCCAAACATGGGTCACTCGGAAGGTGCATCGGGTCTCACATCTCTGGTCAAGGTTGTGATGTCACTGGAGAAGCGGACCATTGCCCCCAATATCAAGTTTCGCACACCAAACCCTGAAATCAAGTTTGACGAATACCGCATGACGGTCCCGACTGAGCCTACTCCGTGGCCGCAAAACCGAGCTGAACGAGCGAGCATCAATTCCTTCGGCATTGGTGGCTCGAATGCTCACGTTATTTTGGACTCTGCTGCAAGTCTGGGGCTAACGACCATGGCGGCAGCTCATTCCAAACCACTTTTTTTTGAGCGCACATTGGACGTTCCGCGACTCCTGCTTCTCTCAGGAGCTACCATCAGCTCTGTGACCCGACTTGGAGACTTGTATGCTCACCACGTGCAACATCGGTCAGATTGCCATGTTGATGTATCACACACATTGGCCAATCATCGGGAGCACCTTCCATATCGCTCATACGCTGTGGCTCGCTCGCAGGACACTCTCTCGTTTTGCCCACCAGTCAAGACTCCGCAGATATCCAGCAACCTGGTCATGATTTTTACTGGGCAGGGCAGTCAGTGGCCGGGCATGGGATCACATTTGCTGTGCACTCAGCCAGCTTTCCGCGCAGCAATTTCACGCCTCGATCAACAACTTCAACGGCTTCCACAGCCTCCTGAATGGAGCATCGCAATAGAGCTGTGCAAAGAGTCGGGCAGAAGCCGTGTCTATGCTGCCGAATTCGCCCAGCCTCTGACAACCGCGGTCCAGATCGCTCTCGTGGACTTGTTCGCTTCCTTTGGCGTGAGACCCTCTGCGGTAGTAGGACATTCAAGTGGCGAAATCGCGGCTGCATATGCGGCCGGAGCACTCACATCATACGAAGCGATGGCTGCGTCCTTGCATCGGGGCCTGATCACTCGCAAAGCCAAGCGTGCAGGAGCTATGGCGGCGGTTGGTCTCAGCTGGAGTGAGACCGTTCCTTACCTCCGTCCAGGTGTCACAATAGCTTGTGACAACTCACCCACGAGTGTGACAATATCGGGCGACGCCGATGTGTTGGGCCAGGTTGTCGAGGCCGTACGAAGCAACAGGCCAGAAGTCTTGGCCCGTCCGCTCAAGGTCGACCAAGCATATCATTCTCAGCACATGGTCGACATCGGAGACGACTATTGTCGCAGCATCGAAAACCTCGTTGAAGGGACACTACCAACTAGGGCACTGTTCTTTTCCAGCGTTAATGGACGAAGTTGTGAACACGATCTGATCATGGATGCCAAGTACTGGCAGATGAACCTTGAATCACCCGTCCTTTTCCGGACTGCTTTGGAGAACCTCATCAACAACCCAATCAGTAGTAACGCAGTGTTCCTAGAGATTGGCCCACACGCAGCCTTGGCTGGACCAAGTCGACAGATTCTTGCGCATGCTGGCATTGCCGCGCCTTACGTGACCGCAATGAACCGTGCCAGCGACAGTTCCGAAACGTTTCTGAGTGCTATCGGCAAACTGTATCAGCTGGGAATTGCTATCGATTTCACTGGCTTGGTAGTAGGCGGTAAATGTCTATCGGGCCTTCCTCGTTATCCCTGGGACCACAGCGCATGCGGCGACTACTGGTACGAATCGCGCCTGAGTAAAAACTGGCGGCTAAAGCCACATCCTCACCATGATCTGTTGGGGTCGAGGACACTGGAGAGCTCGGAGTTGGAGCCCAGCTGGCGGAACATTCTGCACCTTGACTCGTCTGCTGGCTGGGTTCGTGATCACTGTGTCGGAGACGATATTGTATTTCCGATTGCCGGCTATGTAGCCATGGCTGCTGAGGCTGTCCGCCAGCTAGCCGGAGACGGTGATGGTGTTAGCTTCCGCCAGGTTGCCGTACGTACTGCGTTAGTACTGTTCGAGGAACGGCCCGTCGAGCTTCTGACGACCCTCCGACATCATCGTTTGACGGATGATCTCGATAGCGAATGGTGGGAATTCGTTATCAGCTCTACGAATGGATCAGTGTGGACCAAACATTGCTCAGGTCAAGTGAGAGGCCGGGCCCAAGATGTTCATACCATGATGGGTTCGACTACACAAGAACATGCAAGGATAGTCGATTCCAGACGCTGGTACGACACTTTTGCTCGAGTCGGGCTTAATTATGGCCCACATTTTCAGAGACTTGGTAACATTCGCTCCGCAACAACCAGGAATGAAGCATCCGCCAATTTGCCGAGCAGCACCGGACAGGATCAGGGCAAATATTACATGCATCCGACAATCTTGGATGCTGCGCTGCAGATGTCCAGCATCGCCCACACTCGTGGCATATACAAAGATGTGTTGCAGACTTGGCTGCCCATTCGCATCGAGGATATGAGCATCAAACGTAGCGACATTGCCCTTGACCTTGTTGCTACCTCAGCTTTAATGTCAGGCGGGAATTTGCGCGGTTGTATCCAAGCCACAGCAAACGGATCCGTTGTTCTTGATATCCAGGGCATGGTTTTATCGCCGCTGAAGGACACAGTGTCGAAGGCGCTCCCTGACACACACACTACTTCTCGTTTGGAATGGCGGGAACACATTGACTTTATGCAAGTCACGAGTCTGATCAAGCCATCGGTAGACCGCTCTCAGTACACGCTTTCTTTGGACGAACTCTCGACACTCTGCGTGCTGCATACGAAACAGGCCATCGCTGACTGCAAGAGCGATCCGACTTTGCCCCATCTGGACAGGTTTCGCCAATGGCTTGATGCGTACAATCCAGCCTTCCCAAATACTCGGCAGTCTTCGGATCGTCAAGGTCTCATGCAGCGTATACGAGTCTTGCAAGACGAGCTAGCGGATACACCTGCGGCCGTAGCGGCCGCCGCAATGGAGACATTACGCAGCAGCATCGAAGACATCTTCACCGGCAGGACTGATGCACTGGAGCTGTTGCAATCGGATGGCACATTGGCTGAGCTCTACAACTTCATCAGCCAGGTCAACCACTCCGACTTGCTGCGCCACCTGGGGCACACGAAGCCGACAATGCGTATCCTTGAGCTTGGAGCGGGTACAGATATGACCACAGCGACAATCTTACAGGATGTGAACCGTCCAGAATGCCCTGTCTCATACCAGAAGTACACCTTTACAGACGTGTCGAGCAGTCGGATTTCGGCTGCGAAAGAATCGTGTCCGGATGTAGCCAATCTGGAATTTGCCACCCTAGACATCAACCAAGATCCGTTGAAGCAAGGCTTTGAGGAAGAGAGCTATGATCTGGTTATCGCAACCAATGCTTTGCATACGACCGACAATCTGACTACGACCCTGGGCCACGTTCGCAAGCTGCTTCGCCCTGATGGTAGATTAGTCTTGCACGAAATTTGCTCTACCTCAAAGTGGTTGAACTATATATTTGGCTTGATGCCCAGTTGGTGGAATGGTGAGGCTGACGGGCGGGTCACAGAGCCTTATATTACACCAGAACTATGGAGAGCACTGCTGAGCGACGCAGGCTTTTCCAGCATCGAAGGCCCTGTATATGATACGAACCCACCGTTTCAGCTCAGCGCAACGATTGTGGCCAGGCCTCAAGCAGAACACCCAGGGCAAAGCGCTGAACGAGCCATGACCCTAATCGTGCACGACGTGGAGATGGCGCCAACTGAACTCATCCATGCTTTGAGCTCCAAGGGATACAAAGTGGATGTTTGCGATATCCGTCAACGCCAACCAGCACCCAATATCGACCAGCTGGCCATTCTGGACGAGTCTGGGCCATATTTCGACCATCTCTCCGACGCACGGCTGAAGCGATTTCAGAACCTCATTGCTACAATCGGACAAGCAGGTTGTATGTGGATGACAAAGCCATCTCAGTTGCGTTGCATCGATCCACGCTACGCACAGATTCTCGGTGCTGCGAGATCTGTTCGGTCGGAGCTGGCTGTCGATCTCGCAGTGTGCGAATGTGATCGCGAAGATAACGACTCATGGGATACGGTTGTTGATGTCTTCACGCACTTTCTGCAGAATCGCAAGAAAAGTCTGGTGGAAAGCGATCTCGGTCCGGACTATGAGTATGCCATCCGAAAGAACAAGGTTTATGTCGGGCGATATCATCCCTTTGATTTGCAGGCCGAGCTGAAGCCTCTGTGTGTCGAAGCCGGCGAAAAACAAACAACTCTGGAAGTGGATAAGCTCGGACTGACACCCGGTACAAAATGGTTCCAGCGTCCGATTGCAGCGCTAGCGGACGACGATGTGGAAGTCGAGGTCTACAGTACTGGGCTGAACTTCAGAGTATGCTCGCTGCCCACTACCAGACCGGTCCATTACTGACCTCCTCTAGGATATCCTGGGCACTGTAGGTGTCGTCAATGTCGGTGAAGATGGCCTCGGGCTTGAGGCTGCTGGAGTGGTGCGGCGTACTGGTCGGGATGTTATGGATCTCGCAGTTGGGGATCGCGTCCTCTTGCTAGGTGGTCCTGCATTCTCTACTCATGTCGTGACTTCACACCAGCTTTGCCAAAGAATTCCTGCAGGGCTCAGCTTCGACGAGGCAGCCACCATGCCATGTGTCTATGGCACCGCCATTTACTCTGTGTTCGACACAGGAAGATTGACGAAAGGCCAGGTAATCAAGAACACTCGCACCCGCGACGGAGACCTCTACTGACACGCTGCTCGTAGTCTATCCTGATCCACAGCGCCTGCGGGGGTGTTGGTTTGGCAGCAATCCAGCTAGCACAGATGGTCGGCGCTGAAATCTTCGCAACGGTAGGAAACGATGAGAAGGTGCTTTACCTCATGAAAACCTTCAACATCCCTCGAGATCACATCTTCAACTCCCGCGATACCTCGTTCGTCCGCGATCTCAAACTGGCAACCAAGGGGCGTGGTGTCGACCTGGTTCTCAATTCCCTCTCTGGAGAACTGTTGCATGCAAGCTGGCAGTGCGTGGCCGAATTCGGAAAAATGGTCGAAATCGGGAAAAAAGACATTCTTGGAAGCGGCAAACTCGACATGTCTCCGTTCCTCGCCAACCGAAGCTTTTGCTGCGTAGATCTCGACGAGCTCTGCAAGAAGCAGAAATCGGTGGTCAGTCGGTAAGCCACAGCTGTCGTCCTCAAGCCATGTTCTTGTGCTAACAAACCAGTCTACTGCACGACATGATCCAACACTATGGACAAAAATACATCAATCCCATTCAGCCGATGAAGACCTTTCCAGCGAGCAATGTCGAGGACGCTTTCCGCTACATGCAGAAAGGGCAGCACCTTGGAAAGATTATCGTCCAGATGCGTGATCACAATGGCGAGCTACGCCTCAGCAATGATCACGATCCCAAGGCTGGGACTGACACACTGCGGTTCGACCCACAGGCTGCGTACCTCTTGATCGGAGGGCTGGGGGGCTTGGGTCGTGCGGTCGCATCATGGATGGTCGAGCACGGCGCACGGCACCTCATCTTCATGTCGCGTTCTGCCGGTCAAGCCCAGAGCGACAAGGACTTCATTGCTGAGCTGGAAAGCATTCCTGGCTGTGCAGCGCAGGTGGTCAGAGGAAGCGTCGCCGACTATGATGCTGTCCAGCAAGCGATGGAGCAAGCCACATTACCCATCAAGGGGATCTTACAAATGTCCATGGTCCTGAGAGACCAGAACTTCGCCAGGATGTCACACGACGAATGGCTCGCGGCCGTGGACCCCAAGCTCACTGGTACATGGAATCTCCACCACGCCGCCGGAGCCACGGGACAGAAGCTAGACTTTTTCGTCCTCTTCAGCTCCGTGTCCGCGACAATCGGACAACCCGGCCAAGCCAACTACAACGCCGCAAACGCATTCATGACCGCATTCGCACAATATCGCAGAAAATTCGGACTCCCCGCCTCGGTGATCGACGTCGGCGCCATGGAAGAGGTCGGCCACATCGCAAACGACACGACACTTCTTCGCAAAGTCAAAGCCAGCGCGGCATACGCACTACGCGAACGCGAACTTCTCGAAGCTCTGCATCTCGCAATCCTCATCGGCAATTCTCCTTGCGCCCACGACAACGACGAAGGCTTCGTCCCCACAGAGCATTTCGTGCTGGGAATGTGTTCTCTCGTCCCCATCAGTTCCCCGGAGAGCAGAGCCCTATGGAAAACCGACCGGCGTATGGGCGTGTTTCACAACACCCGCCACACGCAAGGAACCCCCCAAACCTCCTCCTCCTCCTCCTCCGACAGCGCACTCCTGTCCTTCTTACTCGCCGCTCAATCCCAGCCCGAGCTCCTGCAAACTCCCAGCGCGCGGACTTTCGTGGCCACGGAGATCGGAAAGAAACTTTTCGAAATGCTGCTCCGGCCTGCCGAGGATCTCGAAATTTCACGGTCGTTGACGGATCTGGGGATGGATTCTTTCGTCGCGATTGAGGTGAGGGCTTGGTGGAAACAGGTCTTTCGGACGGAGGTGAGTGTTTTGGAGATTTTGGGACAGGGGAGTATGGAGGAACTTGGGGGGTTGGCGATTGAGAAGTTTATGAGGAGGGCTTGATGAGTACGTGGGTAGGTATGTTTGCGGTTTTTTTTTTTTTTTGGTTTTAGGAGGGGATTTGGATTTTAGTTTTGGTGAAAGAGTGTTCGTTATATATATATATATATATGTGAAATTTATAATATGGTACTTCCGGTATGGCCTTTTGGCTCGCTCATACGGTCTAGTTTTCACGCCATTTCTGAAACATTACATCCCGAGATCTCGCCGCTGATGAGATCTCATGCGGTGGTTACCATCTTGGGCTATCTCGTGAGCATAGGCAGTCGATGACTTCATCATTGATCTAGCATAAGTTACAGCAACAATGGCTGGCTTGCAGAGCCGTACTTCTTGCATAGCAAGATCATCAAACCCAGAGTCATTCCTGCGAGGCTCTTTTGGCGTTCGGTGGTCCGTTAGATCGATCCGGGTAGACTATCTGTATCCAGGTCCTATAGTGGTTGCGGATGTCTTTATCGCTTGCTTTTTTTGACTAGTTTGGACTAGACGTGTCGAATTCCTTTGCACGCTTCTCCTTTCTTCTACACCTACCAGCACCTAGTCTTCGTGCATCGACGAGAAGAAAGTTCTCTTGATCAACGACCGCACACCATGCGATGGTCCCACGGATTCAGAGGGTCCGAGAAACGGCCCTTTCCCATCCACTTCTTCATTAAGCGCGCGTAGATGGAGGAGAAGGTGGTCCGTGCATCGGCAGATCGGCATTAGTTCGTGGCAAGTGAATGAGAGCTCGCTTTGCATCACCATCTGGTGGCGAGATCGGCTCGCGGCCATTTGAGACGCCGCTCTATCGACCTCTCGATTGAAATTGTGTCGAAGACAGGCACGGAGCAGGTTTGGCAGTGGCGATTTGATGGAAGGTGGAAAGCTGGTGATTCGTGATAAGTGACATGGGTTCTCAAGGCTGCTCGGAACTTGCTCGCCCTCAAATTTGCGCAACTCATCTCGCGTAGCACTCAACGGAACCATTCATCTACACGCTCATCTTCATCGCAATCGTCTTATGCGGCTCATATCCAATGATTTGGAAATCTTCTGCCTTCCAGCCATCTATGCTGCACATTGGCTCCTTGGGTATGACGAGCACTGGGAAATCCTTGGGCTCTCGCTGGATCTGCGTCTCGAGAGCCTCCTTGTGGTCGAGATAGACATGCGCATCACCCATGGTGTGCGTGAGACTCCCAGGCACAAGATCTGTTGCTCGTGCGATCATGTGCGTTAGCAATGCGTAAGATGCAATGTTGAAGGGAACCCCGAGTCCCATGTCGTTCGATCGCTGGTATAGCAGAGTGTGAAGTGTGCCTTGTTTGGACCCATCTGCTCGGACGCAAGCATTCGGAGGGAAGGACACGTAGAATTGTGCGAACATATGGCATGGCGGAAGTGCCATTTTCTTCAGGTCTGCTGGGTTCCAGGCACTGAGGATGATGCGACGATCGTAGGGATTGCTCTTCAGCTTTTCTATCACCTCTGCCAGCTGATCAACGCCTTGCCCGATATAGTCGGCGTGACAATCCTGGTATTCAGCGCCAAAATGTCTCCACTGAAATCCATAGACGGGTCCAAGATCGCCTTCCTCGCGGTGACTGAGACCGAGCTTGTCAAGATACTCCCTCGACCCGTTGCCGTCCCAGATGTGGACATTTTGGTCCTGCAGAGTCTTCGCATTGGTGTCAGCGGCGACAAACCAGAGCAGTTCCGCAATGACAGCTCGAAGGAACACGCGCTTGGTGGTGAGGAGCGGCAAGATCAGTGTTCCGTCTGCTTTGGACAGTGTATATCGATGTTGAGGCGGAAAGGGGATCGAGAGTGTGCCAGTGCCTGTCCGGTCGGGGCGATGTTCTCCGGATTGTAGAATGTTCCGGATCAGATTCAGGTATTGGTATTCTTCATGCGGCTTGATTTCGCCATTGCTTGCCGGCGTGGCCTCCACCTCTGCTGCTGTCATGACGTTGTGCGGTGAGGTGTGTATCGTTGTGAAAAGCTGAATGATTCTGTTTGTTGCACGCGTCGCGTCGAGAAAGACGCGCCTGTGTGGCTGCAGACAGGGGGCTGCGTCATAGGACCCGAGCTTCGGCAAGCGCCACCCTGTTCTTTCGATCACGATCACGATCAAGCCGAGCACGCACGAGCGCTCGCGTGCAGCATGTGAAAGTCTTCTCATATCACACACAACATCCGTCTATTCATCTACGCAGACTGGACGGCGCAAGTATGGGGGCCACAGAAAAGCGACTGCTGCAGATACTGCAGGAGTTGGCCCTGGTCGTGCCGACGGTACGACCTCAACCGCCTGGGCTACTGCCAGCATGGTGCTAACGCGAGCAATAGGCACTCATGGCATACTTTGCCGTGCGCAATATCATGTCGAGACTGGATCCCGAAGCAGGCGCAAAGGCCGACGCCAAGAAGAAAGAGCTGGCCGCATCGTCGCACATACAATCGATATTCCGAAAGCATCAAAGAGACGACGGCGACGACGACGACGACGATTTCTACGACGACGAAGACGATGAGGATCGAAGACGTTACGCCGAGCGGCCGCCGAAGGAGCATCTAACACTGAATCAGTACGAGCAGTCGATAGCCATGGAGGTTGTGAGCCCAAGTGACATACCCGTGACATTCAACGATATTGGAGGCCTGGACGAGATTATTGAAGAGCTGCGGGAAAGCGTGATATATCCACTTACTATGCCACATCTATACGCGAACCACAGCAGTCTGCTGACAGCGCCGAGTGGAGTGCTGCTTTACGGGCCACCGGGCTGTGGAAAGACAATGCTTGCCAAGGCGCTCGCACGCGAAAGTGGTGCCTGCTTTATCAACCTGCACATCTCGACCCTCACCGAGAAATGGTATGGCGACAGCAACAAGTTGGTCGCTGCAGTATTTTCTCTAGCCAGGAAGTTGCAGCCCGCCATCGTGTTCATCGATGAGATCGATGCAGTCCTCGGGCAACGCAGATCTGGAGAGCACGAGGCGAGCGGAATGGTGAAGGCTGAGTTCATGACACATTGGGATGGTCTTGCATCGTCTACAGCCCAAGGCGGTATGCAGAGAATATGCATCTTGGGTGCCACGAATCGAATACAAGACATCGACGAAGCCATCTTGAGAAGAATGCCCAAGAAATTCCCAATCAGCCTACCCAACGCCGCACAAAGACGGCAGATATACGAGCTTACGTTGCGCGACACCAAGATTGACCATAGAAAGCTTCCAAACGGATCGCCGGCGTTTGATCTCGACGTGCTTGTACGCGTATCTGCTGGCATGTCGGGATCAGACATCAAAGAGGCGTGCAGAGACGCTGCCATGGTGCCCATCCGCCTGTACATTAAGCACGCAAGGACCAATGGACAGAACATGAATCGAAGAATTCACCCGGACGCCGTAAGGGGGTTGCAAACCGACGACTTCTTTGGCCGAAGAGGAGGTGTTGAGCCCTTGCGTCGAATAGAGCCGGCAGATGAAGACGAAGGAAGTCAACATAGTGGCAGCACTGAGGAGGTGGACAATTTTGACGATCCGGCCGAAGTGGTTGTGGATGATCACAGGCGATGATTCAGGACATTCTCGCGAGACTTCCCGTCTCTGCTCATGTTTATTAGAGGTTCGATGCGCAAGAAGGTAGTGCACCAGCGCACGCGATAGTACAGACCTACAGGATGTTAGTTATGCTTGATCAGACACGACCTATACTACTCCCCTTCTCTCGTCACTAGCCTCTGCCGTCGCCATATTTTCGATGTCGTCGTGGCTTTTGGAACGTCGATTGCACTTGAATCGTTCCCCCCCGGGCAACACCACAGCTGCGTCACCGACGTACGTCTGTCTCTATGAACAAACAAGCTTGAATGCGGCCATGTGATGTCAAAACACGTATATATGCCGATATATATATATATATATATATACAATTGTGTTGTGAATTGCAATAATAAAGAAGCTGGGCTATAGCTGTGTTTTGCTTATACTATATTAAGACTCTTATATAAGGCAATTGTATATCGTATTGTATAATATATATACTAGGTCTAGATCGGGCGAACTGTAAACGTAGTAGAACACTAGAACTTCTATCAAATTAAATTACCTATAAGTATAGTATACTAGAATAAGATTTTCCTAACCCTCGACAAGCCTCTATCCTAGTTCAAAATACTATAACTTAAAAAAAAACTATATCTTCCGCCTCCTAGCATCAGCCTGATCAATCCCCTACTGAATCATCTGCCCATACAAATCATTTCTTAAAGCTCTCCACATACCACACCACCCTCTTGCAACTCCAACTGTCCACTTCAATTCTCTCCGCGCGCATGACCCATAGCAATGCTGACAATATTCCGAATCTGGCGACCATCGAATTTCTTCGTATGCAGCTCTTCTTCCGCATACTCCTTGATGGCACCGTAGTTCCCTACGACGCCTCTGTTATGGTATTGGTCGATGAAATCCATAAAGATTCTGATCGTTTGGACCCATTTTGAGATCGTCGGATTTGATGGCCACGTGCACTCGGGATTGCACGGCGACGTCGAATTGGGCGATTTGGTTTGTGGTTAGGAAGAGGATTCCGCGGTAGTACTCGAGGAAACGGAGGAATACTGTATATGTCGTGTCAGGTTTGGTGGGGGTAGGTGTGTGCTTCTTGATTTCGACTTACTAGATATAAGGCCGCTACTCTCAGCTAACGGGCTACCGTACTCGCGACGTCTGCTTTGCAAGAAGACATCGGCCTCGTCGCTAGAAAGGCTTTTTGTCAGCAATTCTTGCCCAAGCGATATGACGTACATGAGAAGGATTGCTTTCTAAGTCGTAGCTAGCTTAAATATATCGTTTAGTCTTTTCTCGATCTTTAGTATATTTGTACCGACGTCCGCCACGGAAATGGAGATCAACGGCTTCCTCGCGACGCGTGCGATCATTTGTGCGGACAGAATATTCAGCTTCGTTATTGAGAAGCATTTAGGTCGGAGAGAACTGTTTTCCCGACACCTGGCGAGCCGTACAGCAGGAACACAAGTCCTTTGCCCTTCTCTGCAACGATGTTATCGACTTCATAATTCTGAGATCCTCGCTCGACATCTTTTGCTGCTCTATGATTCTTGACCAGCTGGGATAGCAACTCCTTCGTCTTCAGTCCACTGTCTGCGCCGTCGAAATGCAGCTTGTCCATGACTTGCTTGAAGCTCTGCTGTTCGATTTGCCCAAGGCACTCCACGTCAAGCTGTGCTCCCTCAGCGCATAGCCAAGTACTCGTGGGGGACACATCATGAGCTGGACTTCGTCCCATTCCGAGAAGTCGGTTCCCTTTTCGACCTGATCGTAATGTATTCTCAGACGCTGCTTCAGGGTCTCATTCGCTTCGCATTCTCTGCAATGGCATTCATTCACCAATTCCGAGATGTCTGCTATTCCGATCTTCAATGGCGTCTTCGAATATTGGAAATATGATTGGCAATCGACCATGACATCGGCGTTTCTTAAAAAACAGTGGCTCTTGGCGCCGCCCGGAAGAGCTCGAGAATGGGGAGCGTCGGAATGCCGAGCCACTGTCGCTATCACTCTGCTCTCGTGTCAGGCTGCTATTCGAAATGCTCATGGGTCACAGTGTACTAACGGTGTAGTCATCATCTGAACGCGTACCACTGCTGACCTGCTTTTTCACAAGTGCAGAGCCGGTGTAAGTATACATATTATCGTTGCCGTCCACTGCGCAGTACCTTCGGAAGAGTTTACCCCTCTTCAAAAGCCGTGCCTTGATGTCGTCTCGCCGAGAAATTTCCAATAAGGCCAATGGACAGGCCGCGAGAGATGCCATTGGCTTGATGCTTTCGAAGACATCGAAATGAATCGTCACTTCCTTACGTCGAAACGCGTTGCCATCAAAGTCGTATGCCATGCAATTCAGGGCCCAGGTAACACGTTGGCTAGATCTAAGACTTCCTCCTTCCCTTGGCCAAGGTCTGCTTTTCGGTCCGGAGACAACAAGTATCTGATCCGTGCCGGCAAAGAGCTGAGTCCATACAAGCGCTCCCGGTGGGAAGATCGTCCAAAGTGCTTGGAACGTGATATGTTTCTGCTTTCTTAACGACTGGTGAGCTTCGAGATAAGAGTCCAATTTCGCGTCGCCAGAGCCTTGTAGGATCGCGCTTAGCAGTTGCCGTAGGCACTGTCTTGCCTTTGCCCGTGTCGGCATTTCGTCTTTGCATTCTTTTCCTGACTCTGCCCATAGAAGATCCCAATTCAAGATCAGAGGCTCGTATGGAGATTTGAAGTCTTCGGTCCCGTCAACCGCCCAGTGACGTGGATAGTGGCGCAACAGGTCGTGAAGTAGGTCTTTCAAGGCAGAATCATAAATCTCAATCTCTCCATGGAGATCGCGATCATCGAGGACTTTCCGTAGTAAGACTGCCTGCTCCAACTGATCTCCTGACCCCTGTTCCTGTGGCGTTGTTGGCTCGCCATAGCCTTTCCGATTTCCGGACTTGATATCAAGCCTAGATGTCACTATGCGAACACTATGTTTCGAAGCAGTGTCTTCCCGCTTCCCTGTGGGCGACGGTACGTCTGCATGTTCAGTCTCATCATCCTGGCCTTGAAATCAGTGCTACGAAGGACTTGCGAAGAGTGGGGTGCATTACAGAGTCCGATGCCTCCTCCGACTTAGGGACCTAATTTGCAGCGGCATACTTTCGCTCAAGATCCAGTATCTTCTGCTCGAGTCTCTCGAGTTTGGCCTCAAGAGAAGTCTATATAAATCAGCGACGTTGCTATTCTTTTAGTGTTGATGGTAACACTGACTACCGAGGTATTCATTCACGATGAAAAAGCTTTGGTTGGAACGCGATCCAACCTGATCAATTGCCGTAGTCTGTCTCACTGGAGATAAGATGGAGTGGTCTCGAGCAAAGTTTATTGTGCAGTCTCGACGTTACACGATCGCGGAGTAAATTCATTCAGCTTGAGCTTGAGCTCGAGCTCCTCTCACATAATGACCCTGGTAGTAGCTGTAATCTTGGACGGCACACCTGGGCCGTTGCATGCTTAATCGATATCAATGTGTGGAGCACTGTTCCAATCGTAGTCTGTAGCGCGCTGCATGCGGAGAACGGTCCCTGCTGTACAGTATCATCCTGAGCAGCCACATGCTGTTGAAGCCTAGATAGATTGAGGTAAACTGCGGTTGAGATGCAGCGGTTATGCAGTAAGTCAGGGAGCTGAGGCTGATAGACGTAAGCCGCTTGTGCTGATGTGAAGCTTTTCCAAAGCCTTCTCGTCAGTCCCAGTACCCAATGAACTATGAAGCGCCATCCCTTCGTGACAAGTAGGCTATTCTTTAGATAACCAAGCGTTTGCGCTTTTTCGTTCGATGCAATGCAATTCGCAGGAAATGGTCTGCGATACGATCTGTCGCAGGACGAATGGTATTTCAGGCACATCGAATTTGCCATGATCAGTCTGACGTTTGCAGGGAGCGTGTCCAGTATGTTGAGAGGCTGCAGGTTGACGTCCATAACAAATTGAGTGGCATGCGGGCGACTCAAGACGTGAAGGCAGCCATGAAGCTAGATTCGTCAGCAGCCTTTTGGGTCGACAAATCGAAAGCGGCGACATCAGACTGGGATGATAAACACAAAAGAGGCTGGCGACTGTGGGTGAAGCGATATCAGGACTTTTCAAAGGCGGCAAGTAAGTTTTTGCAAGACTTTGGACCCATTGTGGCAATCGTAAAAGCAGCCGGACCGTACGGAGAATTAGCCATTGGGATCATCAGTGTCCTCTTTACAGTCGCAGAAAGCAAGAGTGATATAGATGATTTGATTGCCTCCACCATTGCGAGCATTAAAGATCGCCTGCCTGGATTTCGGATGTACCAAGAGATCTTCGCAGAAGAAGATGAGCACCAACGTCGTCTGATCAAGAAGATAATGCTTGCGTATGCGTCCATCATGGAACTTACGATTCAAGCGGTCCAACACTATCTTCAACGTGGATTCCGTCGATGACTGGTCGCCGCATTCGATCCAGAATCTTTCAAGCAAATGGCAGACAATGTCCAGCTGGCGATCCTCGATGTGCGTCTGCAGTGCGAGGAGGTAACCATCAAGAATGTGAACGACATCAGACAACAGAACGAAAGGCTCACGAAAATGGTGGCTCGCCTTGAGGAGGACAACGGGAATCGCAATCTGCTGACAATTCAGAGGTCGTTCCGCCTTTCATTCTAGACGCATGAGTCGCACTCCCAAAAGCTGGACGACCACAACGCTAGCCTTGAGTTTGATCGCTCGCATCAAAGCTTGCTTGTGAATATGTGGCCAGCGCTCATTGCCAGATACCATGAGCAGTATTTCTTCCAAGCATGGAAAAGTTCGCAGGAGCCAGCTGTGCTGATCATCGTAGGCAGAAACTACCTGTCCTTGGCTAGACATTGCTGGATGTCACCAGTTGCAATATGTCTGGTCAGAGAGCTCGGTTCACAGTCGCAAGCATGCGCTTCGTACATATTCGATATTTCAAGGGGAGCCAATACGCATGATGCGGTACCGGAACTCCTTCTGCAGCTTCTGCGGTGGAGGAAATCCGCTTTAGGCGAAGGCGACTTCCTGAATGCTTTATGTGCGACAATTGAAAAGTATACATATATGCACGAACGCGGCAATGCTTTGCCGAGTGCTGTGTATCAAGTATTGGGCGAAATCGCAATGATGACTCTCGGGCTGTTTGCAAGGGAAGAGACAGTGTACATCGTCCTGGATCGGGTAGACAGATGTCATTCCACCTCCCGCGGCAGGAAAGAATTGCTGGAACTATGGTAAGGATGGCAGAAGAGGCCAGCTGTTGTGTCAAGGTACTCGTGATGGCCAGCAGTTTTGACGGGGATGTCGAGTGGTGTGAAGAATCACTGCCGCCGAAATGCTCTCGATGCAACTTTAAGCAAGTGGAGGAGGTTCAGGAACTAGTCAGATGAAGGCCAGCGTACGTACGGCATTGATTGAAGTTCGACCGGCACTCGTTCCCGGCACGTTCCAAGTGCTCAGCTCGCAGAAGCAGCTCCCATCAAAGCGCCCTTCAGCGGACCCAACCTATTCACCAGATCCAGTCCGAGACTTCTTCCCCATACCACCGGTCCTGAGCCGACGGAATACAGCTTTTGCAACTTGTCGACTACACCAAGCATGGCATTGTTCGCAGCCCAACGTTCTGCGTTGTAGTCATCCAAGCACCAGCAGCTACCAATGTCCATTCCATGCTCTACACCATTCACGATGCATTTTGCGAGAGCCTCAGCATCGGCCAGTCCCAGATTCAGACCTTGACCAGCTAGCGGGTGGACAGTATGTGCGGCGTCTCCAATAAGTGCTATGCGGTGACCAGTATAGGTGGAGCAATGGCGCATGCGCAATGGAAAAGACGCGACTGTCCCTCCTTGAACGCCGACAACACGGGGGAAGTTGCGAGGCAAACCTGTATCGCTGGAGACAGTGTTCGGTTCTCGCCAGGCAAGCTCGTCTGCCGGATCCACCGATGCTTCTGTCAAGAGGTACTTGATGTCGACAAACATTAGACGGAAAGCGGCGTTGACCATTGATGTGAAGTCTTCTGGCGAGAGCTGCTTCAACTTTGCCGCGTACTGAGGGAGGATGGACCAGACCAGACTAGCTTTATTGCCCGGAAGTGGAAGGAGCGCGATAGGACCAGTGGGCAAGAAGCGTTGGTATGCCGTTCGCATGTCGTACCCGTGGAAAGATTGATCAAGCTGGAGCGTTGCTACGACACCGTGCTGATTATAGTCCCATCCGTGGCTTGGAATGCCTGCGAATTGCCGGACGGGACTGTTGGCACCATCAGCACCTACCAACAACCTCGCAGCAATAGCTCTGTCGCCTGGTAGATGCACGACTGGCCATTGAGAAAGGTCAAGCGACTGCTCATTTTCTGGCCCAGGTCCGAATTGTATAGATTCCACCCTGGATTTGTCCAAAATCTCGATCTGTGCTCCTTGTTCTTTGAGCTGTTGCAAGAGCGCCGACGTCAAATTTGCATTCTCGCACATTGTCGCTACCGTGTCTGCATTGTCCATCTCATATTTCCTCCTGCTTTCCCGTAACCGACTCCCAGGTATCATCTGCGCAATGCTGTCCATTATGCCCATGCTGCCACGATCTGATGGGTCGAATTGGATCTTGCTCCCACTCACTCCGTCCCAGACATCGATTCCGTGATAAGGCTGTACTCGCGATGCATTGATATGCTTCCAAGCTCCATTTTGATGTAGAAAGCGGAGAGAAGACGGCGTGAGCGAAGAGCATCGATTTGAGAAGGAGTTTGGGTCATTCGCAGTAGATATTCTCAGCTCTTGGCTATCGATCAAAGCAATCTTCAGATTCTTGGTGGAAGGCTCAGATTGCAGGGCGGATATGAGAGCAAGTCCTGCTGGTCCAGCTCCAATGCATACGAGATCGAAAAGTTCGGGCTGTTTTGGTGATGATGTTGCTGCTGTATACACGCTGCGGCGGAGGGGTGGAGGCAATTCCAGCAGACGCGAAATGGCCCGTTTAGAAGCCATTGAAGCCATTGTTGCTGATAAGAAAGATTGCTGGCGTGGAATGGAAGTCGACATCAAAGACCCAGGCTCGGATCTTCCCGCCCTTGTGAAACCTTATGCAACGCGGTGGTGACGTCGTATAAACAATTCTTGTCGTTGTATCGATCGCGTTTGTTCTTGCTTGGTTTGTAATGGATGATGCTGATGCTGATACCGATGGCGTGAAGCTGACGCGCAGAAGATAAGTTGTTTTCTCTCACATACCCTTCTCTCATCCACATCACATCACACCGCAACCATGTCCAACATATCCAAACTCATCCCAACCGACCCAGAGAAGGTGATGATAATTCGCAAACTCACCCCCGATATCATGACCTGCAGCACGCCCTTCCTCCGCATGGGAAGAATCAAAATCGGCGGAAGAGGCACAATCGTACGAATGGCAACCGGATCTCTAGCCGTATTCTCTCCCGTCGCCTTGACAGAAACCGTCAAGAAAGAAACCAACGACATGGGAACCGTTCGATACCTCGTAGCACTAGACCAAGAACATCACATGTTTCTAGAAAGCTGGCACAAGGCAAGAAAGCCATCAAACCTCCATCCACATATCATTCCATCCATCAAACTAATTCCAACCTCCATACCTACAGGCCTACCCAGAAGCCAAAATCCTCGCCCCAGAAACCCTCCCCTCTCTCCGCGCCCAACAAAAATACTCCAACCTCCCCGCCTCCAACCTCCACCTCTTCCGCAAATCAGACCCCAGTCCCCCTTCCGTCGACCCACCCTTCGACTCCGAATTCCAAACCGAATACGTCTGGTCGCACACCAACAAAGAACTGATCTTCCACCACAAACCCTCCCGCACTCTAATCGAAGCAGACCTCCTCTTCAACCTACCCGCAACAGAGCAATTCTCCAAGACCTCTACGTCGGCAAATACCGGGCTTCTCACGAAACTCGTGATTGGACTGCAGAATACGCAAGGGACGGCGATTTGGCAGAAGAGGTTGCTGTGGTATGCGCTCAGTGCGACGGATCGGGGGGAGTTTAATGAGAGTATGAAGAGGATTTCGGAGTGGGGGTTTGAGAGGATTGTGCCGTGTCATGGGGATGTGATTGAGAGGGATGGGAAGGGGGTTTTTGAGAAGGTGATGGAGTGGCATTTGGAGGCTGCGAAGAAGAGTGGTTGAGATAGTGACGGAGGATAGAGCTCGGAAGTGGTAATGTGTATTGTGGAGGAGGGAGGGAGGTTCGGACATGTGGAATGAGACCTGTTTGGAACCTGCACGCGATTGTCGTTTCATTCATCGTATATAAGTGACGACAGATGCGCTGATGCTCAAGTCAAGACGCTGCTATGTTCATGAAAGAAGAGCGTCTTTTCCTCCTTGGACCCAACGCCACGCTAATGTTTTCACGGGATCCCTTCCAAACTCCGATGCTATAGCGCTGCACTTTTCAAGTCATTGTCCCGTTCAATCTCAATTGCCGCTCATGGCCAGTATTCCCGAAGATACTGGAGGCTGCACAGTAAGGTCTCCAGGTAGAGATTCTTCGTCACTTTCATACTCCTCCTCTTCACCACTTTCATCATCATCCTCCTCTTCGTCGTCCTCCTGCTTCATGCCTCGTGGCAGTTGCCACGCATTGAACTCTCCTTCGATCCATTTCTTGCTCAGTGGGAGATGATAGGGATCGAATGGGAAATATGCTTCTAGCTGATGATGAGCTTCGCCAATTTTGCGGTCGAATGCCGTCTCCCTTCTGCCAATGTCGATCGTGCCGCCTAATTTGAAGTACGACGGCACTTGACTCAGACGAATACGCTTGTTACGCTCCAGCAATGAGAAGACGTAGAGGAAGCGCAAGTGGTTTGCAATCTTTGCGAACTCGCCCACAATGTGTGGGGAGCATACCTTCAGTGGGTTCAGCACAGAATGAATGTTGCGATGTAGCGTCTCCTTCACTCCGGGAAACCATGCCAGATCTCGACCTTCTGCAAGAATGTCCTCTTCAATCATGTCGCCCGGGTCGCGCACGACGAGGTCCCGCCACCGAAAGCAAAACATGTATAACAAAGCCTGCACGATTGCATAGTACATGCCGTAGCTCTTTCGGTCAGGTCCAATACACTGCGGCTCGCTCGTTTGGCGCAAGCTTTCGAGTAAGTCGGCGAGCTGCATGAAGGTGCTGCGAATGAGGCCGCTGGAGACGTGGGAGCCACGGGCGACAAAGCTAGCCACGTAGGCGCAAGCCGTCAGTCGAAGGTTGGGTGCTGCGGTTTTATTGCTGGTGATCTGGATGCAGCGATTGATGAAATTCGAGGCGTAAGCGGATGATGTCTGCGCAAAATGGAAGAGCAGGAATTGCGCATGTCTGCATCTGTGTGTCATGATAAAGCTCGTGAAGTGCGACCAAAGCTGGTTGTAGGCATCGTTGTCTTCGGGGCTCAGATTCGTCGAGAAAAGTCGATGGTAGTGCTGGAATAGGATCACCTGAGTACCATCCATATTCGCGACTTTCAGGCGTAAGTTTTGCAACATTTGCTCCTCTTCAGTGACAGTAATCTCGGACTCAGAATCGGAGTCATCCTCACTGTCGTCGTCCTCTTCAGCGCCGCCGAAAGCATCGCCACGTTGTCGTTGCTTCTGGAGCAGCTGTTCCTCCGCGTCATCTTCCAATTCTTCAATGTCGCGCTGGATCTGAACGTCGATGTTAACCAGACGCCTTATAATCAGCTCGATGACTCCGCCATGGAGTACTGAGTTTAAGTTCGCGATCTGCAAGATTTGTCTTTGGTATTGGAGATAGATCTTGGTCTTCGCCAGATCATCTGGGAATTGGCGTCCGAACTGACTCAGCAATACCTTACTGGCCATGGGTATGCGTTCTAGAAGATTCTCGATGGTCGCGTGAAGTCTTGCAAACATGATTGCCCGCGAGACAGGCTCCTCGTATGGTAGTCTGCCCATTGATGCAGGCAAGCGTTCAAAATGCGATACCAGTCTCTCGAGGGTGGGGGACACAAACTTGGAGTATGTGCTTCCAAGCAGAATTAGGAATTTCCCGTAAACCTGCACAAACTCGTCATCGCGACCGAGCCAGGAAAGATCCAGGATAGCAATAACCAGCTTGCTGCATTCACCCAGCACTGCTATGCGACCACTGATTGCATCGATATACTTCTTCAGAAGCTTTGTGCTGGGAGCGTCGCCATCCGCAGGTTCTCGCCCGACGAAGTCCAGCAGTTTGATATACGGCGTATCGTCTCTGTGGTCTGTGGTCGCGAGATGCTTGTCGATTGCAGACCGCACTTCTTCTCTCACCAGCGCTTCAGACTTGTCGCCCTCAAGTCCATACTCTCTGATCTGCACTTCAGGATTGAACCTCAGCCTTTTCGTGGTGACGGATAATCCTGCTTCGTCGTCGGTATCTAGGTATGATGAGTCGCGCTTCAAGCCGATCGTCGGTCGCTTGGTGATGGGGGTTGGAGGCGGTGGCATGGCGCCAACGGGTGCCGCAACAGAGACCATGTCGACGAGGGGGCTCGCATATGTTGCAGCATCGAAGGTGGCCTCGCGGCGGGTCGGAAGAATATGGTGGGCGAAGTGGGTGTGAGGTTTGCGGTGCCAAGTCCTGAGGCAAAAGCAGAGTCGAAATCGTCTGTGCAACGCAAGCGCAAGGATTCGCGCGGTGATCCATGAAAAAGTTTAAATTTAGCGCCGCAATCGCTCATACGAGATTCACAACACTGGACATGAACCTGAACATGAACACGTCGAACGGAATTATCACTTCATAGACATCACGGGCTCAGATGAAAGCGTCTCACGACCCATCACGCATTCAGGAGCAACAACAGTCGTCGAGGTGAGGTTTCAAGCCGAGAGGGGGTACAAGAATGTCCACTATAGATCGCACGGCAGGCGACAGCTAACGTCTACGGCACGGTAAAATCGGACGAAGTGTCTATATCACCTTTGTACGATGGCAGAGAGAAAAAAAATAGGGGAGTCTGGTCAACTGCTTACTTACGTCCATTCACTCTCGCACAAGTATCCGACCTCAGACAGTCTTTGCCACAACAAAGCAACCATGGAATTCATGATCATTCTAGCAGCGACTCTTACTGCAGCAATTTCTGTGCCAAGCGACCTTTTCGAACAGCTTATCGACGACGATTTGTGGCAGATTCCATGGTATTGCTTGCGGGAGCAATGGTACAGCTCCTAGACTACTGCCGAAATCTGGGAGGAAAGCGAGATAGGCTATAACGGCGAGAGTCATATTATCCTTGCGACTGGGCCAATTTAATGGATCGTTTGGGTGGGAACTGGATTGCGGGCTGAGCTCATGCTGCTTTGGATCTGTGTTTTGGTTCTTCATGATGCTGTCGCTCTGAGTGCCATGCATCTTTTTCATATTCCACAGAGTATGTTCAGCATTCCACCCGCGTGATGACTTGCCTTCTGATGATGAAAGGAGACCTGAGGCCTGAAAGCATCTTGCTTCTTGACGAGATTGAGCTCCAGTAATTATCTTGGTTAGCACTGAATCTGTCGAAAACAATCAAGGTCGAAATTCGGTGACAACGTGAATAGCTGATCGTTCAGTCTATTATGCCTCATCAGCATATTCTCCGTCAGGATTGGCTTCGTACAGCGTACACCGCATTTGGCCGGAAAGCAGCGATCGCCGCAGCACAGATTTTGGCACCCTACCTGCATCTTCGCGGCACCGAGGCCATCGTTGTTGAGCTTCTGCATTGCTCAGCATGGCCAAGCATTGAGAGGGGGAGAGCTTTGCATCGACGTGATATTAAAGAAGGAACAAAGATCTAGACCAACATTTGAAGCACAAAATTAAGCTTTCCGCAGAGACCCACTTCTGACGTCTTCTCCCGACAACGGACATCCAGCTGCCTTTGCACTTCACCTTCTACCCAATCAAGAATGTACACAACATTCAAAATCAGCCGGCACTTCAGTCTCCATCACCAGAAACTCATATCCGTACCATTCCATAACCCCTCATTCCCCCCACAACCATGTCCCCCTTCACAGTCACCTCAATCGACCACATCGTCCTAACCTGCACCTCCATCCCCAAAACCCTAGAATTCTACACCACCCATCTCGGCATGAAACACGAGACCTTCCTTAGCAACGACGGCATCGAACGACACGCTTTAACCTTTGGGTCCCAAAAACTAAATCTCCATCAATCGGGGGCTGAGTTTGAACCCAAAGCTGCAAGAGTCCAGCCTGGGAGTGAGGATTTGTGTTTTATTACGCAACATCCGATTGCAGAGGTGCGGGAGGAGTGGGCGAAGAATGGGATTGAGGTGCTGGAGGATGGGGAGATAGTGGAGAGGACGGGGGCGGTGGGGAGGTTGAGGAGTGTTTATTGTAGGGATCCGGATGGGAATTTGGTGGAGTGAGTTTGTGCCTTTTCTCCTCTCTCTGTCGAAGTGTCTATGTTTTGCTGATCATGTCCTGGCGCAGGGTATCGAACTACGTCTAGAAACCTCCCGTGTCAGCGTGTTTTACATCGCAGACTGTACAGCGCTATGCTCTATGCTATTCGTTCCAATGCACCTTAATATGCCCATTTTGCAACGTCCATGCTATGCAAAAAACACATTCCCATCCCTTTTTTATCCAGATCGATACATAGCATCAGCCATCTTCACAACCCTCCCCATCTCCTTCACATCGTGGACTCTCACAATCTCCGCCCCACCCGCAACAGCAGCAGTAACCGTAGCAGCAGTACCTTCAACCCTCTCCTTAGCCTCCGCAACGCCCGTCAAGTTTCCAATGAAAGTTTTCCGACTACTCCCCACCACCCAAGGATACGTCGCCAAGCCACTCCAATTCCTCAGCTCGGAGAAGTTGCCGAGCAGCTCAGCGTTCTGTTCCGTCGTCTTCGCGAATCCGATGCCAGGATCGAGAATGATGCGCCAGCGTCGAATGCCGGCTTCTTGTGCTGCTTGGAGGCGGGATTGGAGTTCTGAGGCGATAGTTCGGATGAGGCCATTCGGATAGGAAGTGTTTTCTTCGGATTGCATGGTGGCTGGTGTGCCGCGCATATGCATCATGATGTATGTGCAGCGTAGTCTGGCGATTGTTGGGAGCATTTCTGAGTCGAGGGTTCCAGCGGAGATATCGTTGATGATATGCGCTCCGGCTTTGATTGCGGCTTCAGCCACGGAGGCTCGATATGTGTCGACTGAAATGGTGATGTTTGAAGCCTCCGGAAGGGACTTGATAGCTTCGATCGCTGGGAGAATACGGGAGATTTCTTCATCGGCGGTGATGTCTGGTGCGTTCGGGCGAGATGATTGACCTCCAATGTCGATGATCGTAGCGCCATCGGCAATGTGCGTTGCTACAGTTTGTCTCAAGGCTTCCATGTCGGAGCTAAGGTTGTCTCCGCCATCCGAGAAGGAGTCTGGCGTTACGTTCAGGATGGACATGACTGTAGTGCGTCGCTGAGGCTTCAGAGGACGAAGCGAGTCAGAGCCAGGCGACAGAGGCGTCATCGCATACATTGGCGGTTCCAATGGTGAAAGTTCGTGCAGCCATTGAAGACTGGTTTGCCACTTTCTCGGAGACAGCCTCACAACGGCCAAGGAGGCTCCTGAAGTGCTGGACACGGTTAGTTCCCAAGACTTGAATATGGCTATCAGCGGTAACATACTCAGACAGCGGCCGAAGCACAAACTCACGCTCATGCATCAAAGGGTGTGGGACGGTCAGGCGGTCACTTCGGATGACATCCCAGCCATAGGTGAGGATGTCCAGATCAATATTACGAGGACCCTTGTCAATTATCTTAACCCGACCAAGGTCGTGTTCTATTGCTTGCAGGTGGTCTAGGAGCTGCATTGGCGAAAGATCTGTTTGAATCTTGTTCATGTCAGTGATGATACGAATGAGAAAAATCAAGGTACACAGCATACCTTGCAGACGCCATTGAGGAAGCTCTCTTGATCCTCCACGTACATGGCTTTGGTTTCGTAGAGGGGACTCGTCTCAAGGATGCGTATGGTATGATCTTTCTCGAGAGCAACGCAAGCTTGCTCGATCGCGTCCAGCCTATCTCCGACATTGCTGCCAAGTGCAATGAAAGCGTCAACATGACTCGTTGCCGTGGCCGTGGCCGAGGTTTTGGCGTGCAGGACACCGGTTTTTGGAGGCGATGAGGCCGAGATCCTGATCGTCTTCGCAAGTCTAAGAATCGTTGCAGAGCTTTTCGCAACCTTGGCCACAGTGCTGACCACTTCGTAACGAGATGCGAAGTGATTCTTGGCAACAATACTACTGGCTATTTCATAGTGGCGTGCATACAATTCCTTGGCCACGTCGTTAATATCCTCCTTGAGCCAGTGTCCCAGATCCGCGGGGCTCCAAACGGATGAAGAGTCTATATCCAACATCTCAAAGCTAGACGAATCCAGTTTAGGTTGTACTGTCGCGGAAAGCGCCATCGATGGGAGGCACACCAGGAATGAACTTGAAGCGTTCGGCGTGTCTGGCATGACTGTGGACACCTTGAAGAGGGTTCTTGCAACGGTTGGCCTTGCCGTGCTGCATTGGTATATTGACTCAGCATGAGATCGCAAGTCGACCTGCAGGCGGTGGACGTGGGGAAGCTTCTTAGCGACGCTTTCCACAGCACAGACGAGACTTGCCACGCTGCTGTCTCCAGCGGCCTCCAATGCTGCCTCAATAGCATTGAGGATTGTGATGAAATCTAGATCCGCTAGACTTGAGATGGACTCAGGGCACCAGTCGATTTTGAAGTTTACAAAAGGAGTTCCGAAGCGTCTTTTCGCAGCATCGAGTCTGAGAAGATATCAGTGAAAGCTTGACGGCATTAACATGGCACGTACGGTATTCGTTGAGGATCCAATACAGACACCACCTTCTCAGACGCACCAGAATCAAGATGGCACCAACGCTTAGTCGATTGCAAGATCTCGCGACTCCAACTGGATGGTTCCGCTGACTTGAGGGGCACGTTGCTGTCGGCGACCTCAAATTCGTCCTGATCACTCTGCGGGGCAATTCCTGCATCGTCCTGACCAGCAACTCCGTCTTTGATGACTGCCACATCTACTTGGCGCTTCTTCGTCTCCGCGACAGATGTGACAACATCGATTGAATCACGCCAGGTAGCTTGAACGAGGTATTCGTTTCCACCGCCACCCATTGCTTCTGCTAGAAGCTTGACTGATGTCAGAATGATATAGGGCGTGCGAAACCTCAAAACACGAAGCAGAGCTTCCGCAAAGTTTCGACATGCTGCTAAAGGAGTCTCAAACTGCATATCGGAACAAAGACGACTCAAGACCATATTGCAGGTGCTGCGCAGGAAGCTGATCTCCTCTTTCCCGGGGAGGAGTGTCGAAGTGATCGATGTTTTGGACTGTGGTTGTGAATGCGCGGTGGCATGCAGAACCGCGGTGAAACGAAATGGAGTCTCGTCTGAGGTGAGCGCACCTCGTGCCTGCACCTTTGGAACGTGCATGCTCCCGAGGCTGAGGCGGATAAAAGGTAACGTATGCTGACCTGACGCTTCGATACTCAAGAGTGTTTTCTTTTTTCGTGTTCCAATTTTCATTTTCAAGAATAGGTTAGGGGGCAGAATTTGTTGAAGGTGCGCCGTACCAACTGCAAGTGCTGAGAGTCCTTGTTGGCCAGAATGCCTGCAAGTCTTATCGAACTCTTCAACTGTGCGTCGTTTGATTGCTTCTTCAACATTGTGTGTAGATGGCGTGCGGTTGTCGTATATTAAGGGTGTCGTGTAGTACAGGTTGCGCAACCCCAGAACCTGCCGAAATTCTTGCGATCTGCCACGAGTTAGAACTGTCTCAGGCCATGGATCGTGCTTGCTAACAGTGGTACGCGAACATGTGGGCTCCCTTTCGAAGCCCTTACGCTGGGTCTTGTCTGGGTCGTCACAATGTCACGATGCGTGCCGATCTGTCCCTCGGCCCGCTGCTGCCGTGCCCCATCAGACGCATCTTTCGGCCAGCTGAATGGTAGTGAGCCCGGGTTCTCAAAGGAGGGGGTGACCAGGTTTTCTCGCCATATCCCAACTCTCGAGAAATTTCGTGAGTCTCTTTGGGCAGTGAGAAGCAACGCACGAGCTGGCTTGCCCATTCGAACCAGACGCGGTCCACGCCGGATGCCATGTAGGGGCAACATCATGTCGATGGGCCAAGAGAGACGATCCACGTTGTTGCTACGGGCAAGAGCGAACTTCGAGTATGCCCAGCGTGTTTTTCATGGCCAATGTGTCGTCCAGCGATGGAATGAGTGTTTCGGTGCAAGATTGAACGAAGTTGAACGAAGTTGAACGTGAGAAAAAGCGGACGCTAGCGGCTCGGGCCGAAGCGGCGTGGGTGCCGCTGCCAGGGTCTCCGAGATAGCCGAGACCAGAACATGTCTCTTTTGGCCGTGACAAGATGTGCGATTGCCCGGAGGACCTTCAGCGACCACGATATTGATAGAGAATCGTTGATCTGCTGATGCTCATCGAGGTTCACGTGGAATTCCCCACGAGTTCCGCCAGAGCTGGAAGAACGGCTCATCGATCGGCGCTTGTCGTGTCGGCAGAAACGACCAGTACCGAGGCACGGCAACTTCTCAGCCATCACCCTCCGCCCGCCTTCTAAGAGACCATTTCCTCTTCACTTCTCTCACTCACTCCTCCTGCTGTCCATCATACGAGCTTCATATCACGCAGTACTCCTTTAACTCCCAATACAGGGACACATTAGCGGCCATGGCTTCTCCTCGTAAGCAGCCCCAGTCCCGCGCCTGGTCTCGATCACATGCAAATGAATGGAGCACTGACACGGCGTTGCAGAGCAAATTCGCACGGCCACCACCGATCTCTTGAAGATCAACCACCCCATCATGCTTGCGGGCATGAACGTCGCCGCCGGCCCAAAGCTCGCAGCAGCCGTCACGAACGCAGGCGGAATTGGTGTCATCGGTGGTGTCGGATACACACCAGACATGCTTCGAGAGCAGATTGCAGAGCTCAAGAGCTTCCTCACAGACAAGAAAGCACCATTCGGGGTCGATCTTCTGCTCCCACAGGTCGGCGGTAGCGCACGAAAGACCAAGTATGAAACATGCGGCATACGATATCAAAGCACAGCAAGCTGAACTGTTCATTCATAGCTACGATTACACCAAGGGCAAGCTCGACGAACTCATCGACATCACCATCGATTCAGGTGCCCGTCTCTTCGTTTCCGCCGTCGGTGTCCCACCCAAGCACGTTGTCGAGAAGCTTCACAAGAACGGCATCCTCTACATGAACATGATCGGGCACCCCAAGCACGTCAAGAAGTGCCTTGAGCTCGGTGCCGACTTGATCTGCGCACAGGGAGGTGAAGGTGGTGGCCACACTGGAGATGTCCCAACATCCATCCTCATCCCAACTGTCGCCAGCCTGGTCAAGGGACACAAGAGCCCAATGACCGGTCAGCCCGTGCAAGTGGTCGCAGCGGGTGGTATCTTCAACGGACAATCTCTTGCATCTGCTCTCGCTCTCGGCGCCTCGGCTGTCTGGGTTGGTACAAGATTCGTGCTTTCAGAGGTGAGTAGTCCGCTTACGAGATCCTCTCGCACCCCATTTACATGCCTTTTTCATGACCGCTAATACGTTTCCACAGGAAGCTGGTGCTCCCCGCGCTCACCAGGAAGCCGTCCGAACCGCCGGCTTTGACGACAACATCCGAACCATCATCTTCACCGGTCGACCACTCCGTGTCCGCAATAACCCATACATTCAAAACTGGGAAGAGAACCGACAGAACGAGATCAAGGAGTTGACCTCCAAGGGCACGATCCCAGTAGAATGGGACATTGAGCGCATGGGTGACGATATCGACGATGACACCATGGACAACGCCCGACCATTCTTGATGGGTAAGGCCGCGGCTGTAACGAACGAGAAGAAGTCCGCCAAGGCTATCATTGATGAAATGGTCAGCCAAGCCGTGGATGTGATCAGCGCAAGCAATTCCCTTGTTGTGACCAGGAGCAAGCTTTAGACGACAGGACATGTATCCATGCATTTCTAGCAATTTATGCCATTTCAGCGTAGCACGTTCCTCTGTTTTGTTTCCCCAACCATCATCACTCCGTCTTGCTACTTGCATGTGCATGACTACTCCCCCTCCGTCTCGTCAACCTGATTACCCGTCTCAAACACTCCTCCAATTCCTCATACGCTTCCGCATGCAATTTCCCAAGTTTCATCTGCAACTCCATCAACGTCATAATCGCATCCGTTAAAACCATTCGAGGATCATCGTTTAGATCTGCTTTCCGCTCTTCATATGCTAGAGCTTCGTGCGAATCGAAATCCAAATCTAAATCTCGAAGCTGCTGAAAAGACGAGCGTGATGTTTGGGCTTCTGGGCGAGAGTCGGATTCGGAGGCGATTTCGTCTGTTAGGCGTTTGAAAACTTTTTTGGTGGATTTGTTGAAAGATTTCTTCTCGGAGCGGGTGGGGTGGAAGGGGGTTGGGAGGCGGGACATGGAGGTAGGTAGGTTGGTGGTGGTTACGGCATGCTGCTGGAGAGTGTGTTGTGTTATATGTGCTGAGATTCTGAGCGTCCAGTTGTTGTGGTTTGCCATATCATGCTCATCTGCGCACGCGTGTGGCCCTTGTCCCGAGCAAGCAAGCGATGAAAATCTCGCGGCATCTTTTCACCGCTCTTTCTCAACAAACTGCACTCTCGGCACGGCGTCTTTCAGCGCTTGCTTGTCTTGTTCGCTTGGTGTGAATCCAAAGAAGCTTTCGGCTTTGTCGGAGAGGAAGAGGCCGGCGGTTGCGTAGGCTATGATGCCGCCGCCGATGATTAAACGTGTTCGTGGGGAGAGGCTGCGGTAGGAGTGCCAGAGGGACATGGTGGATGGGATGTGTTTTGCGTGGAGGCTGGGTTTGGTGTTGTGAGAGTGAGGAGGATGGTGGATGAGTTTTGATGAGTAAGAGCAGGGGTGTTGAACTCAATTCCGGACTGTAGACCACGCTCCGATATTTGTGCCTGTGCAGGAGCATTCTTGCTCTTTCTTTTGGACATGAATCACTTCAAGGGCTAACAGACTACCGCTAAACTGATCTCATTCGCCGCCGTGTGATTGAACCAAAACCTTCAGATATGGATCTGTGCACCCAATTGCTTGAAGCTGCGAGACGCCCGGACGTTTGACACTTGGTCTATCTAGGAGCACAATTCGATCATACCAACAAGGATTCGAATTAGCAAGAGAGCATTGTGCTCTTGAAGAAGTGAATGCGACACTCTACATACAGATAATGTGCTCTGTTTCCTCCGACGAAAGCCTTGGCTACCTTATCTTGCACTGCTATCCTCACACCACCCTCGTATACGCCATCAATCATTCAGACATCAACGCTTAGATGCCAGCCCACTCCCATGGTGCCGGGGCGCGCTTCTCCGGAGCAGCAGTCTCTTCTGGGAACGGAGTTGTGGTGACTGCAGAAGGTGTAAAGACACCGTTATTGACAAGCCAAGCTGCAGAGTTGAACTCAGACCAGAGCTCTTGCACACGGAAGCCGTAGATGTTGTCGCTGTCTGGAACGGTGTTGAGCACGCCAAGCCCAACGACGGGAATGTCATTGCTCTCGGTGGCTTGACCTTGTGCGGATCGAAGAGTCTGCCATCGGACTGTGACAAAGTCGCAGCCGTAGCGGATGCCCAAAAGGTCGAATGGAATCAGAGGTTGAGCACCCTGGGCGGCCCTGTGTAGTATGCTAGTCAGTACATACGACTTCTCAGGGGGGAGATATTGGTGGAGACATACATGAACGCAGCCCGACCGACAAATGAAGCCTCATTGACCACGAATGGAGCGTCGTTGCCTCTGTTGCGGATAATGTTGACGGCCGATGAGTAGTCAATAAAGTCTTCAGTCAGAGCTTCGAGAGCAAGTTCGTCGGTGTAGGCTCTGATGAGGGACTGGAAGATCTCTGCGGCGTCGTTGGCTTGCGCTTCAGTGAGGCATGTGGAGGGCTCCAGCGCAGGACATTCGGTGCCATTGCCTGGAGTTGGCGACCCGGTTGTGCCTGGAGCAGGTGCTGTTGAGGCGGTTGCCGTAGGAGCGGGTGCTGTGTCGTTGCATGGCGGCGAATCCTGACGCTTCTTGCCCAAGCCTCCAAATCCATGAGAGTATGCCTGTGGTCTCGCCCATGCTGGCTCCGGAGCGGGAAGGGCGGCGGTGGCCAGCCCAAGCGAAAGGAGAGTAGTGAGAGCAGCGTGCATCTTGGTATCAAGATAGAAGAGGGTTTTCAATCAGGGCAGGAAAGCAGAGCAGAACAGCAGAACAGCAGAACGACAGAATGATGTAGAGCGAGAGTGCTGTGGAGTCGAATGCTGTCTCCATGGCGATAGATATAGATATTGAGAGGGTGTACGATTGACCAGGAGGCCGGGACAGACATGGCCTTCATGTCGCTACTCGTCTTCGTGTCGTGCAATGGAGATGAGTGGGGGCCTCTCACCATTGTCTGGCCCGTACAATGGATCATTTTCGCCATTTTTGGTGCATCTCAAGAGCCTTGGCCTGTTGTACGACGGGATACGGCTCCACGACACGCCCTCAACTGGCGCATTGAAATATTGGAGGTCGTCAGTTACCCGTGACGGCCAAGAAGCTGCATCAATCGATGATGTCGAACGCTGGTGATCTGCACACATGACAAGCTCTTCCAAGTCTTAGGTCAGTGTTTAATCCAGAGAGAGTGTTTTCAGCTCTATTGTAGAAGCGTCGACATTTGTGATGTGTTCTGGACAACGCAATGTAAACATCGCGCTGTTGGCCGATCTTGTGCAACGACCCTTCCTGCGGACGACTTGTTCCGATATCTTGTGGCTGGTGAATCCCAGCACTCTTCGGGAGATGGCTTGAGAACTGTAGCTGCCCTGATGGGAAAGGATGTGGTGTCACGTCGATACAGGTCCTGGGTGCAGAATATAACAGGAGTGGCTGAAGCTGAAGACCGTCTCGGCTGGGTGACATATGCAGGTACGCGGAGAATTGTCTTGGGCGCAGGCGTTGAGCTGTACGGCGCTGCCAAGAGCGTCAGAGGAACGTGGTCTGCAGACTCCCTCTCATCTTGAATTTGTTTCGGACGCGCGTGTTTTGTAGTACCTGACTGTCTTGACCATCGGCCAGCACTCGGGCCGACCAAGGCCGACTTGGCGTGGTCATTTCGCGTCCCTTTCCTAGGAGCCTAAACGTAGTCTATAACAAACCTAAGTAATCGAGTAATCGAGTAATCGAGTAATCGAGTGATCGGGTATTTAGCGTTTTTGAGTATTTGGCGTTTCTAAGTATTTGGCGTTTCTAAGTATTTAGCGTTTCTAAGTATTTAGCGTTTCTAAGTATTTAGCGTTTCTAAGTGTCCGGCCTTTCCCTATAGCACGTAAATTGCGTGCTACACTAAAAGGAACCTTATCGTCGATCCCTACTTTTAGATAATAATATATAATTAATATAGAAACCCGAAAGATTTATCTAACCTAAACTAACGTACTATAGTAAACGACCTACCCGATATCGACTCGCAAACTCGACTCGCGATCTATCCGACCTATTTACTACGTGCTATAGCGAAATATATACTATGCCTACCCGTATCGATCTTAAGCTATACCGACCGCTTATCTAGTATATCCTAAATACCGAAAAGCCGACTACGCTCGTAGCACTTTGTATACGTATCTATAAAGAAATAGGTGCAGATTTAAACCCGCGTCTACTAAGGTATCGGCTTATAGAATAGGGCCTATCTATAAGGAGTAGGCGGATAAACAGCGATAAATAACTATAGACTTATATTAAAGACAACTTCTAGCGATACTATAGTCTTAGCGATAAGAAGACCGTAGAGATGCTATACGCTAAAGGCTTCCGCCTCTCTATCTAGCAGTATTAGCAGTTACGTCGCGAAATAGGTCTTCTACGAAAGGTACCCCCTAAGAACCGTCTAGCAGTTAAGAAAGCAATTAAACAAGTACTTCGTACTATTATTGCGTCTAGTATTAAGTACGATAGTAGATATCGAGCCCTCGCTAGGTATCTACGTAGGAAGAATTACTTTATCGGCAGGTTAGTATATTTATTTAATTTCCCTATAGTATACTACGTCTATACTATAGATAAAGCGTTAGCACTACTACTAGAGCCCTCTAGATCTCGTAGGTAGAAGAGTAGCATACTAACGCGCATCGTATCTAAGACTCGTATACGACTTCCTCCCTTTATACTATAGCATACTAGATATATGCTATAGCGAAAACGTTAGCATTATTATCCCGGCCGTTACTACCGAAGTAAAAGGGCAGTATATCGTTGCTTAGGCTAAGGTATTGTTAGCAGAGCTGTTCGCCTCGAGGACTCTAAATCGAAGTTACGATATAGTATATACGATTTATCTATAGCGCAGCATTTATATACTATAGACAAATAGTAGACTTCGGATTCTTTTAGGAGTAGTATACTAATTATAGTTATAGAGACTAAATCTATAAGATCGCCCGCAAGCTCGACGAGACACTATTTATCGAGCGACGACTTTACGCACCGCGCTTCTAGCCTACTTATAGACGGCTAAAAGCAATCGGACCTAACGATATATAGTCTGTCGATATATACTATAAGTTCGACCCCTTCTTTAGCATCTAAATCTATATCTATATCGACGTCTTCTCGCGTATAATTGTTTAGTACTATACTAGCAACCTCGCAAAGACTAAGTTCTCGACATTTAAGCAATATCTCGAGGCGGTAGTTACTCGTAGTTACTAACCGAGGGTCGTACGATCTAATATAGGTGTTAGTATAAATATTCTATCGATTTTAGTGTAGCACACACATTTGCGTACTATAGCGAATTGCCTAGAATGCTAAACAGAACTAATATATCGTATAGAGACTCCGATAATAGCAGATGCACATCTCGAGCTCTAAGAGCTCTTCGAGGGCCGAGAGCTTGATTTTTTAGACTGCTTTTAGTATACAACTAGCAAGGGCAATAATACTATTAAGTACTAGAATAGCGAGATCGCGAAAGGTTGTCTTAATACCTAGAGGGACCACTTTAATAAGATTAAAAGCTAGGGGATTTACAATCCTAATCGGGTACGTTTCTTTATGTTTTAAAGCGTGCGTACTGCAGTATATTAACGTCCCGAAGGCCTACGATCGTATCGCCTTTCTCGTAGTCTATATGCCCGTCCTCCGCGCTATAGTTAGCGAATTTGTCGAAGACTAGAATACCTACGCTATCCGGTATAATGTCGATGCGGAAACGCACTACGCTAGCGTACTAGAGCTACTCTACCATTATCCGGAGGTATTTAGTAACGGCGCAGAAGACTAGCGCAAACTAATCTATCCCGATTATCTATAGATCTAGCGCTAGATAGACCGGTACGATGAATTTAGTATAGCGCTCTAGCCGACATAGTATTATTAGCTAACAAATGTAATAGATCTTAAGGCATATCTACTACTAGTTACGCTAAAGTTCTGTTAAGATGTACTTAAAGCGCTTAACTTCCCTCGCGAGATTCGTAGTACCGAGCTAGGTATAGGCGGTTCTTAGAAGCTATATATCGAAGCATATACTGCACTCCGCCGTAGGCGTAAGTATCGTAACTCGTAGCAGCAGGCAATATACTAACCCTTATATAGTATAGGCACACATAGCGTCTAGTGCAGCCCCTAAACTAGTTAAGTTTTAGCGTCCTTCGCAAGATAGGGCCGACTTATAGCTATCGGATCGAGTAAAGGCTTTATTTAGCGCTACGTAGGAGCCGCTATAATCTAACTTTATAGTATTACACCTTCGTTTAAGAATCGACGGAACATAGGGTTCCTAACCTAAACGATCGAGTAGTAGAAGTATTCGATAGGCCGTACGAGCAAAGCCGAGTCGATTTAGACTACTTCTACTAAATAGCGCTAGCAAAAGTAATTAATACGATAACGACGAGGCACTAACTTAAAGGCAGGCAGCCTAGAAAGCTATTCATTTACTTCCCCCTTCTTATATACAAATACAGATAGTATAGTTTAGGGGCCCTATATACGGCCGGTATAATAAGAGTTTCTTCCGTATATAGCCCTTCCTTCTTCTATCTACTTTAAGGTTGCTTACTACTAGCATCGCCGCTATACCCTCCGCATCTATTATTTCTAGGGCGTAAGACAGGCTCGAAAAGCTAGAAAAGCGTTTCCCGAAACCTTATAAGAAGGAAGGTATAATCTCCTCTATTACCTTCTTCCGTTTCTCCCTTCCTCCCTTCCTCTAAACCTAACTATATTATCTACGCACTTACGCTTCTATCTATTTACGCACTTACGCTTCTATCTATTTACGTACTTCTATACTAATAGCTCGCATCTACTACCTAAGCTACCGCGTACGCTATAAGGCTTTATATAAGTTCTATACGAAATATAAGGCGGAGCTGCTAACTAGAGAGTCTTCCGATAGCGACTAGACCGAAGTCGACCTAGTCTCCGCCGCCGCCTAAGCGGTTATTAACGGCGGCTCTACCTACAAAGACCTAGGCACTTTCAAGCGTACAGGTATAGGGCAGGTATAGAGGAAAGCGGGCGAGAAACCGAAGAAGCGTAAGCTACCTAATGCTATATATAACCTACTCTATAAAGATGCCCTAAGAGGTACCCTAAAAGGTACGCCGAAGAAGAATAAGAAGAAGAAGAAGGGTAAGAAGGAATCTGCTACTATAGATAGCTCTTTAAGCTCGGATTCCGACTTATCGATAACTATTAAAGATACGCTCGTAGTAGCATCCTAAGGTATCGAGTCTATAGGCAACAGCAATAGCAAAGGTAAAGGTAAGGGCAAAGCTAAGGCACGACCGTAGGTACGCTTCGCATATATAATATACGATCTCTCTATTAGAGACAGGCCTAATAAGAAATCGAAAACTCGTCTACTTGTATATAGAAACAGCTAGCAAATACTTAGCTAGGAGTAGACGATCTATATCGATACATTTATTATAGAGTTCTAGTCTACTAAGGACCGCCCGACCTAGTTCTTTAATCGACTTATTCGCGAGAACTACCGCATCGTAGAGATGCTATCCGACTATTACTAGGACTATTACTTTAGTCGGAGGATCGCACCTAATAGCGAACCTATCCGTACAAAGTTATCGCAGCTAGAATCCGGCGACTTTAATAACCTCTTCGTCGTTTTCGATAGTAGAAATAGCGAGACTAA